GGTGAAGCAGGGAAGGGCCGATACTCGGCAGGCTTTGTTACACTAGACATTAAGATTGCCACACTCTTTGGTTTTTTTTTTTTTTGACACCTGGAAGAAGTCATGAGCCTTAACTTAGATGTTTTGTTTTTTTTTCTGTGATTGAACGCCTGGCAGCTGACCAACTGATGTAATTTTAGGGCATGAGTAGCTTATGGCACATTTATGACGTCATAACATGAAGTGCAATGACCAGAAAATGGCCTGACATAAATGATGTCTTGGAATACAGATGTTAATCAGTAGACAAAACCCTTAATCCACACGTTTTAATTCATTCTGTGAACAGTTCTTAAGCTCATACACCTAACTGCAAAATTGCAGCTATTTCTGTAAAAATAAAGGATTGATATTGTTTTTTGTAATTACAAATAAATATTGATACAGTATTCTTCAAAAATAATAACAAAAGGAGCTGGAAAGATGGCTCAGTGGTTAGGAATACCTGCTGCTTTTAGAGAGGACCCAGGATTGGTTCCTAACACCCTCATAGCAGCTCACAACCATCTGTAACTCCAGTTCCAGGGGATTTGACACTCTCTTCTGGAGTACCAGGCACACAAGCAGTGTGCTTACATAAACGAAGGCAAAACACTCATGTACCTTAAAAAAAAGAAAGGTAACAACAATAGCAGCACAGGAAGGCAGTCTGCAGGACCACACGAATGCTCAAATGATCCAATAGTAGGACCCAAAATACATTTCAACAACCTCTGGTCTTAGCAACGTACACAATTAAACACGGAACAAAAATATAACTTACCTACAATTCACAGTTGCTTTCCCACCTTCGAATTCTGAATCCTTCCCCCATCTCTGAGGTAATTCTAATGCCATGAGTCCTTTTGTTCCTATGAGTGCTACATGATGTTGTGTTGGACTTAACAAGACTTGATGAATTTCAAACAGGGGTGGATTTATGCAAAGTAATCTCTGAAAATTAATTTAGTAAAAAGTTAATTTTAATGTTAGTATATTAGGGAGTTTCATGAAACCATGATCATGCTTTACTTTTCTATAGTTACAAGATAACAGCATTCTGGGTAACACACACACACGAAGTCTTAGAGCTAGAGAGCTGGCTCAATGGTCAATAAGAAGCACTGACTGCTCTTCCAGAGGACCTGGGTTCAATTCTTGGCACCCACATGGTGGTTCTATAACCATTTTCTGGCCTCTGTGGGTTCCAGGCACATGGATAGTATACGCACACATAAACAGAAAAAATATGCATACATAGAAAACTAAAAACAAACAAAAAATTGTTGGCACACGCCTTCAATCCCAGAACCATGGAAGGCAGAGGCAGCAAGGTCTCTGAGTTCAAGGCAACTAGTCTACAGAGTGAGTTCCAGGACAACCAGGGCTACACAGAGAAACACTATCTCAAAAAACAAAAAAGCAAAACAGGGCTGGAGAGATGGCTCAGTGGTTAAGAGCACTGGCTGCTCTTCCAAAGGTTCTGAGTTCAATTCCCAGCAACCACATGGTGGCTCACAACCATCTGTACTGAGATCTGGCGCCCTCCTCTGGCGTGCGGGCATACATGGAGGCAGAATGTTGTATACAAGATAAATAAATAAAATCTTAAAAAAACAAAAAAACAAAAAAGCAAAACAAAACACAAAACCCTGCCCCTAGTAGGCACTACTTGAGATTTGTTTTTCTTCTCTCTATTCCTGGCTTCAAGCAGACTTTTGATACTTAGAGAATAAATAACTTTTGAAGTATTAATAAAAGATAACCATTTTATAAAGAGTACTGTAGAATACTCTAAAAAGACAACCATTTTATAAAGAGTACTGTAGAATTCTGTAGACTAGCTTCAGGCCAAATGTGGTGGTGCACACCTATATTCCCAGTACTGGAGAAGAAGATAAAGGTGGTTCTATTTAAGTTCCAAACCACCCAAAGCTACAAAGTGAAACTCTAGATAGCTTCAAAAGTTCTGCAACAAGCTGGGCGGTGGTGGCTCACGCCTTTAATCCCAGCACTCGGGAGACAAAGGCAGGCAGGTGGATCTTTGTGAGTTTGAGGCCAGCCTGGTTTACAAGAAGTAGTTCCAGGAGAGGCTCCAAAAACTACAGAGAAACCCTGTCTCAAAAAACCAAAAAGAAAGAAAGAAAAAAAAAGTGATATTTTAAAGGAGCTCCAATAATTTGTCACAACATCGCACATCCTCAAAAATACACATGTTTACACTGGTACTTCCTATTTCTTTCCTCATAACCATTTCAGGTTTCTATTTTCTTTTCTTTTTACTCTTAGTAAATAATGATTTACAATATATTATTTACCTTTGTATGGAGAATTATGCTAAGCCAAAATCATTTAAGGTAAAGTTTCTTTGAATATAAGGAGACTTCTAATTGCTTTTCTATCTGTAGGCCATTGTGCCTTTAAATGCCTGTTGCAGAGCTAGGAAGTAAGGGTACACAGCTTTAATTCCAGCTCTGATCAGGATCTGCCTGATCTCTAAATTCGAGGCCAGCCTGGTATACAAAGCAAGTTCCAGGACAGCCAGGCTGTGGCACAGAGAAACCCTGTCTTCAAAAACAAAACAAACAAACAAAAAAATAAGTCACCAAATATTACAGAGCTCTTGCATGCTCTAGGTTTGTGTCATGAACTGGACATAAAAAATAAGGTATCAGGGGCTGGAGAGATGGCTCAGAGGTTAAGAGCATTGCCTGCTCTTCCAAAGGTCCTGAGTTCAGTTCCCAGCAACCACATGGTTGCTCACAACCATCTAAATGGGGTCTAGTGCCCTCCTCTGGCCTGCAGGCATACACACAGACAGAATATTGTATACATAATAAATAAATAAGTAAGTAAATAAATAAATAAAAATAAGGTATCAAACACATACACAGCCTGGCTCAGAACTGTAATCTCAACATTCGGGGACTGGGGCAGGAGTTCCAGACACACAGAGTCCTGGCACATGCGTGTGCTCTCTCTCTCTCTCTCACACACACACACACACACACACACACACACACACACACACAGAGAGAGAGAGAGAGAGAGAGAGAGAGAGAGAGAGAGAGAGAGAAAGAGAGAAGAGAGCACCTGGTTCGGACCTGTAATCTCAACACTTGGAGACTGGGTAGGAGTTCCAGACCAGTCTGGGTACATAAATGATTCCATTTCAGAGGGGAAAAAAAAAAAAATCAAAAGAAAATTACTTGAAATAATGTATGAATTTCTGATACGTATTCTTACTGGGAATTTTACAGCAGGTAGATGTGTAAATGCTGCTCTCGTTTCTCAACAGCACTGGCAGCACCTTGTTAAAATCAAATCACTTCTCAAAAGAACCAGTCCAGGGCACACAGATCTCATACACTGGAATGAATGTCACATTTGGGTTTTTTTGTTTGTTTGCTTTCTTGCTCCTTTTTCGAGACAGGGTCTCTCTATGTAGTCCTGGAATTCGCTATGTAGACCAGGCTGGCCGCAAATTCAAAGAGATCCTCCTGCCTCTGCTTCCGAAGTGCTGGGATTAAAGACCTGTGCCACCAGTCTTGGTTTATAAAAAGTTTTTAATGAGGGAGCAAGGTAGTTTTGCTTGTTTTGTTTTCAATTAATTTGGGAGGGGGGAATGCTACAGGGATGTGGGGCAGATTTGGAGGGACCGGGAGGTGAGTGGGGTTGAGGTACATGATGTAAAATTCCCGAAGACTGAATAAAGAAACACACACACACACACACACACACACACACACAATGTATACATGCACACATATACTACTGAGGGAAAAAGTCTTTAAAAGAGAATCAGTTTACTACAAACGAAGACTTCAATAAAGCACAGCAAGTCTAGAATGCATTCTGATTATATCCGCTCTCACATGACTTTCATCGGCTCATCAAAACAAGACCTAGTGCTCCGGTGCTTCTAGTGGTGGAGGTGAAGGTGTGTGAGCATCCCCCTGTAGGCGTGCTCAAGGGAGTGTGTGTGTGTGTGAGCGCGCGCGCGCGTCAGTTCCCTGCACTGCAACAAACGAACAAGCCCTTCCAACGTTAGCGAGCGCCCCAAAGGGCAAAAACAAAACAAAATACAGGGACACCCTTTTTCATGTAAGGCAGGTAATTTGGTCTTTTAAAATCTGTGTTAAAGCTCAGAATCAACTAAAAGAATGTGTCACATCTTTTAAAAGAGCTCTTCGGGCCAAACAACGAAAAACATTTGCACCAACTTCTTTATCCTGTCTTCTTCGGAGCGCCCATCATTAACCATTTCACGGTCCTCCCCCCCCCCCCCCCTTAGCCCCCCGATACTCAGAACCAGCACGAGTTTCTCTGGGTGCCCGGCAGCAACCGAGTCAATAGATCCGCTGGAGACGACTAAATAGGAGCCAGACGGGCTTTTCCACCCGAAGCGGGGTGTCCCCGAAAGACGCCTGCTCAAGTCTGCGAGCGCACCCACTACAGGGCCAAACCACCAAGATGGGAAGACGCGAACCCCAAAGTTGAGCGAGATGCCAGCTAAGGGCTTCCGAGACGGACTGGCGCACCTGATACTGGGAGAGAGGAGGCTCCACGGCGCCACCGCTCGGGCCTCGAAGGCGAACCACCAAGAAGGCGCTGCCTTCTGCGTCCCACAGGAAGAGCTCCCCTCCCAGGCCGAAGACCAAGTTTCTCGTCAGCAAATGCGGCGGCAGAGGCGGGCACGAGGGCGAAGTCGAAGCCGCTGGTTTCTCCGCTTCGGCCGGACTCTGGTTTTTCAGGCCCTCGCGGAGCCGCAGGAACACGACGTGGTTGGGAAGCCAGCTCTGCCACAGCTCCCCATCACCGACAGACGCCTCGGCCGCCGCCATCTTGAACTGACAGCGCTAGGGTCAGGGCCTGCAGCCCGCCGCGGCGCGTAGCCAATCCGCGACCAGCACTACGCGGCTTCAGCCTATCAGCGAGTAGGAATCCCCAGAGCAGGCATCACTAGCGGAAAGCCCATCTACAGCGCCGCAGACCGATGCCAGAGTGGGCGGGGCGGGGTCCACCACCTCGCTGAGGGCCGGCTTTGGAAGGTCGGCGCGTAGGGTTAAGAATGAGATCTGTAATCGTCTACTGACGCCTCCCTTGGGATGAATCCAGAACTTTCTCTCAAGATTCAACTCCCTCAGCCCAGGTGCTGTCTACTTCTCAACTGTCACTACTACATCCATCCTTGGATTTCCCTAAACCTACCTCCGTGAGGCGACAGCCACTAGAAACAGTTCCAGGAAAGCCTTACGATCTGAAATTACAACTTCCAGAATCCTTTGCGCGCGGCTAAGGGGCGGTGATTCCGGAGCCGTCTTCCGCTAAGAGATGGCTGAGTCCTCGGGGTCACCGCACCGCTTGTTGTACAAACAGGTGGGCTCGCCGCCCTGGAAAGAAGCTTTCAGGCAGGTGAGTGTGAGATGTGGATCGTAATCACTTCCCTAATGGGGTCCCAAGGACCGCTGTCCTCTGTGCCCTCGCTTCAGCTCTGGTCCGTCGTGAAGCAGCAGATGACCGGAGCGCCTGGCCAGCGAGGTGTTTCTCAAATTCAAGACTACGGCAGCAGCCCCAGGTCCTGGCCACCGCCCGCTACCTCTCGGACTTTTGGCTGGAGTGAGTGCTATCCCAGGAAGCTTTGTTTTAGAATTCGAGTTTGTTTGAAATTTTAAGTGTCATGACAAGCGGTGACACCACCGCTTGATGTTGGGTTACAGAGAGAAGCATTTTGTATGCATGCGTCGTGTGAGATAGAAATTATTTCTCTTCTAAAGAGTCAGAAGAGTCTCGGTTACTGTTAGGAGAGTTGTACTTAAGCTCGGGTCTCCTCTGAAGCCAAGTAGTTCCCTCTAAGAAATAGCTTATCTCCCTGTTCAGCAGTCTCTAAAGGGGTGGGTATAGTCTAGAAAAGCAACCGCAATGCTAGAAGTAGTGTGTGTAGTAGGGGTTCTCAACCGTGAATACTGACATTTTGAAGAAGAGAGTTATGTTATGGGAGGTTATTCTGTACAGTGTAGAACACTTAGATATAGCATCCTTGAACCCCTACTTATATGACCTCAGCCAATAGCAGTTCTACAAACAGAGCTGTGACAACCAAAATGTTCTCTTGAGTTGGGGGTGGAGAGATGGCTAAGTGTTAAGAGCACTTCCGTTCTTGCAGCAGACATGGTTACATGGAGTTACATGGTGGCTGTAACTCCAGTTTCAAGAGGTCCCCCATTGCCAATCTTCTGGCTTCTGTGGGCGCCTGCACATAAACTCCTACAGGGGACACGGACACACACAATCATCAGGGTTGAGAGGTACTGTAGTACAAGAAGATCATGTCTGTAACCATATGTACAGTAGCAGGATTTGGAGCCATATAAATGTCTGACGTCAGTTTTTGCAGTGACTGCACCCAATGCTTGCATTCAAGATAAAATGTGAAATATAGGAATTTGGAGGTTCATGAGCAAAGCACTGTAATTTTACCTAGTTGTGTGTGGATGAGGACTCAAAAATATGAAACTTTGTATCTAAAATTCTTTTACTCCAAAACCACAGAGAAACCCTGTCTCGAAAAACCAAAAATAAAAAAAAATAAAAAAAAATAAAAAAAATAAAATTCTTTCAATATTTTACTAGCTGATTGTCGTCATCGCCCCCCCCCCTTTCTTTTTGGTGGAATTGACCTTTTCTTTCTTTTACAATTCTGACCCAGGGATGTCTCGAGAGAATGAGAAACAGCCGGCACAGGCTCCTGAACAAGTACCGCCAGGCTGCAGGTGGCAACCCAGGGAGAGCCTCAGACAAGTTTCTTGTGCAAGAAGTGATGGAGGAAGAGTGGCATTCTTTGCAGTTGGTAGAGAATTGTCCGGAGGCCTTGGTTCAGGTCAGACAAGGAAAGAATCTGAAGCTAGGGGGTACTCCATGAAGAACTGGTGACGTCTTCCTGTCTGTCTGTCTAAGTCTTTTCAACCTACCCACTTCCCAGCCCCCACACATAATTCTAACAGCCTTTTGGCTCAGGCTTTCCTGCTTTTGAGTAGGTTATTTTATATTGATGATTCTGTAAAACTAGACTGTAGGCGTGCTACAGCCTTGTAATGAAACTACACGTAGGAAGCTAAAAGGAAAGAAAATATCATTCTTGCTTTCCCCATTGGGAATTTTGACTCACCATGATTGTGTTAGGGACTTCCCTTTGAAAAGGATGTCTACAGCAACATTGACTCCAGCCAATTAAAGTTTAGAGTTGTGTGTCCATAGAAAACCATTACAGTGTATCGGACAAGCCTATGGGTAGGCATCAGAATTTAGGGATTCTGTTTAGTTTTACTGAATTACAACTTTACTGTGTTTCTTTGAGCCTTAGTATTTACATTTGCATAAAATAGAGACAGTGGCATGAGCATTTTGAGAACTGTGTAACAAAACATGAACTGTGTAACAAAACAAAATTTGATGGTGGGTACTCTGATCATCTGTTGTTAGTGTAGAGAGGCCATGTTACTATGCTGCCAGCCAATTCTCCATGCGGACTAGTCCAGTTTTGCCAGGTAAATTTGGGGTCTTCAAGGCAGCTTCCAGTTACAAATCCCCATGGGACTTGGTGGCCGATTAATACTTCACATGGACTGTGAGACATCCCTTTCTGCTCTGTCTGTCTGTCTGTGCCATGCTCAGAAATCAAGCCCATGTCTTGCATGCTGGGTTAGCACTGCTCTGCTAAGCTCCACTCCCTTCCCTTTACTTCCTCTTGTAGTTGGGATTGCCAGAGGACCTAGCTGTGCTGCAGGACATTGAACAGGAGCTGTGTGATGAAGGTAATCCCAGGATGTAGTCCTTTCCTCCCTGATCTGCACCTCCTCTTGTGCTGGCCTGTCTTCGACTCAGGATTGGTTTTGTTGTTTTAGATTGTCTGGGTACCAGGGATTAAACCTAGAGCTCTGGGCACGGAGGCAAACAATAACGCTATAGCCCCAGCCCTAGGATTAGTTCTTAATTACCGTTCTTCTACCTCCACCATCAGTTTAAGTGTCCACAAGGCCCTCTGAACTCTTCATTCTTGTCTGTCTTCCCAACAGTAAGGGCCATTGGCTCTGTGTCTGGAACTTCTCATTCCACGATATCATTTCCTCCATTCTGACTGCTGTGGAAGATGGGATTAGACGGAATAGCAAACGCTGTCCTCACACAGGCCACATAGCTAGTCAACGGTAGAGCTGGGAAGCAGTTCCCGTGTTTATTTTATCCTGCCTCTTGCGACTTTGTTCTGCTGAACACTGTGGCTTGTGCCTGTAGGACGTGTGATTTATTGTAGGAGGTGGGGTTTTCAGGAAGGAGCCTGAGCCCTCTAACTTCAGACTAGCCAGGGTAGCATAATGAAACCTGCTTCTTGAATAGTAAGCTTGTCACTTTGCGTCCATGGGCAGATCTTTTCATACACACCCCAGGGCCACCTCTCATCCATTCTTCATTGGTTGCCCAGGGATTTGTGAGCATCTGCCTCTTGGAGTTCTGATAGCATTGTGTGGCATACATTGTTGGCATCTTATATCATGGTGACTTATTCCGATGGCTTTTTCTTGACTGGGTTTCACCTTTATCTGTGAAATGGAGATAATAGACCTGCTCTATGGGTACAGGACAATCCTGGGCCTTTTGCCTTGCAGAAAAGTCCATCATAAGCGAGTATGAGAAGAGTTTACAGTTTGATGAAAATTGTCTCAACGCCATGTTGGCTGAGTGGGAAGCAAACCCCCTCATCTGTCCTGTGTGTATGAAGTAAGAATTTTCAAAATTTTTTTTATTTTAAAATATTTATTTATTTATTATGTATACAATATTCTGTCTGTGTGTATGCCTGCAGGCCATAAGAGAGCACCAGACCCCATTATAGATGGTTGTGAGCCACCATGTGGTTGCTGGGAATTGAACTCAGGACCTTTAGAAGAGCAGGCAGCGCTCTTAACCACTGAGCCATCTCTCCAGCCCCTCAAAATTTTTTTTTAACAGTATTGGTTCTTAGCCCTACTCCAAAGTGAGTGTGATCCCTCTGCCCCTTAGTTGATTGATGGAGAGGTATAGGGAGCCAGGTCTTGTTACCACAGTGATCTGGGAATCCCAATTCTGTCTTTAGGTACAACCTGAGAATCATGAACAGTGTGGTCACGTGTCCGTGTGGCCTGCACATCCCACTTCACGTAAGTGTCCACACAGATTCCCTATATACGCCGACTGTATTAAAGAACCTCTGGTGGTGGTTCGGAGTCAGTTGTGCACCTCTGTGCCAGTTACTTACTGTCACAGACAAGGTACCCAGCAGCAATAACCCGAGAGGTTTATTTTGGCTTATGATTTCAGAGGGGTCAGTGCATCACGGCAGGAAAAGTGAGGCAGAGTGCCTCCATGGAGGTGAAAAGCAAGACTCCTCAGCATTTTGGCTAATAGGACACAAGACCTGTTCCTAGTAGACCATGTCCACCAGATAAACTTCCTGTGCTTTGCCTGCATGTATGCCTGTGCACCACGTGTGTGTCTGGAACCCTGGAAGTAAGAAGAGGGTGTTGGATCCCCTGTAACTGGAATTACACATGGTTGTGAGCTGTCATGAGGATACTGTCAGCCCAGGTCCTCTAGAAGATCAGCAAGTGCTCTTAACCACTCATCCATCTCTCCAGATCCCCATTTTTGAGGCAGAGTCTAGTAGTAGCCCAGGCCGGCCTCAAATTCAACTGTAGCTCAACTTCTGATCCTTCTGACGTCACCTTCCATTTGGTCTTTCTACTGTGCTGGGAACGAAGTACATGACTCATTCTTGCTAGGCAAGCCCTCTACCACCCGAGCTACATCCCCAGCTCTACAGTCTAAGGCTCCAAAGAATCAAACTGTTTTGATTGGTGATTTAGATTTTTTTTAACCTGTTGGTTTTTCAGTATTTAAGATTAGTTGGGGCTGGAGAGATAGTTCAACTGTTAAGAGCACTGACCGCTCTTCCAGAGGACTGAGGTTCAATTTCAGTACCCACATGGGCAGCTCACAACTGTCTGTAACTCCAGGATCCACCACCCTCACACAAAAAATACCTACAGGCAAAACATCAAAAATAAAAAAAAAAATTAACAAAAAGATTAGTTGTGGTTGAACTTTCCTAGTCTCCAGAGCTGACGGAGCAGAAGCTGCGGGGCTGTTTGGAGGATCATGTAAACGAGCACAGCGCACACTGTCCCCACATGCCTGAATTTTCAGTCACCGGTGGACCAGAGGAAAAGCCCAGCCTTCTGATGAGCTGCCTGGTAAGTCTCCACGGGACCTTTCCCCTCTTGCTGGAAATAATGGCTTAGAAATAGGTAAATATTTAATGTTTTTTGGCGGATGAAGAATACAGGACGTATCAGTTGGGTGTGGTGGCACTTATCTGGAATCTCAGGAGGGAGGCTGAGGTAGGAAGAATCTAAGGCCAGCCTAGACTAAGTAGTGAGGAACTGTCTCAGAAACAAATGTTGGGCTGTTGAGATGGCTCAGTAGGTAAGAGCACTTGCAGCCAAACCTAACAACCCGAGTTCAGTCCGTGGACCTCATGTGGTAGAAACAGAAGCGATCCCCGCAAGTTGTCTTTTGTCCTCCACAACATGTAATGTGCTTGTGCACGCCGCTCTCTCTCTCACACGCTCACGGATGATTAAAGCTTATGGAATGAGCAACTTAAATAGCCTGGTAAGCAAAGGGAGGGTAGACTTAGAATTATGGCCAAGGCATTGGTCTGGAAATTGGAGCCTGCACTACATGCTTTTGTTGGGTCAGCGCAATGGCTTGAGATCTCCATACATCAGGCCATGGCCATGAATGAATGCCAGATGACCACCTTGGCATCGCTTTGCAGATAGACACAGGATAAGCAGCACAGTGGAACAGCAGATTTGTCTCAGCAAACTTTCATAAAGGTCTAAGACTCTTGCCAAATAGTAACTCAGGTGTGAGGGACAGGACCAGAGAAGAGCCACCTGTCTCAGGAACCTTAAGTTTGCTGTGGGAACCAGTGTTCGTGTATATGACATATTATAGCTTTCAGGTCCCAAGTCACCAAGTGCTGCAATGTGCCAGATACTCAGTAATAACCTGAACCCGCACATAAAATTTTTCAGTATTTTTGGGCTCCAACTGGACCTGACACCATGTTTCCCTTAGCACTGCTGAAATTACCTGTTCATGTCTTTGTTTCTGGGGACAAAGACTGTTTCTCTCCCTCTTGTTTAATTACTCTCTCCCCACTGTCTGAGTTAGTGCATAAGTAAATACTGTGTTTCCACAAATGATTCAAAGTGGAAGCAGAGTTGAAGCACAGGCCAGACAAATGGCCCTGGCCTCTGCCTTTTAGACCGTGTGGTGCTCAGATGGCTCAGTGAAAGCACTTGCCTTGCAAGCACGAGGACCTGAGTTTGGATCCCTGGATCCCTTCTGAAAGTCATGTAGGCATTGTGGCTACCTATAATCCTGGAATTCACAAGGCCAGAAGCAGGGAGATGCCTGGGACGCGCTGGCTACGGACTAGCCAATTAAGGAACTCCAGGTTCAGCCAGAGTCCCTGTGTCAATAAAGTAGAGAGCAATTGAGGGTGACACCTGTCAGTTTGACTCCTACACACACATGAAGAGAAATAAGCACACCAGCCACCCCCTTGTAGAATTTCAAATGGTAGTGGGGTGCATGTTAAATTCTTTTTCTGGGGAAATGTGATCTACATAGCCCTAGCTGGTCTTGAACTTGCTACATAGACAAGGCTGGACTCAAAATCAGAGATGTGCCTGCCTCTCCAGTGTTACAGACTAAAGGTGTACACCAACTTCTTTTAAATGTCAGTTTCAGACCAAGTACTAGAGAGGCTGGAAAGGGCAGTTAAGAGCAAGCAGGCAGGCATGACAGTGTTTGCGACTTGGGAAACTGAGGTAGCGTAGTTTGAGCCCAGGAGTTGAAGACCAGTCTGAGCAAAGTAGCCCAACCCTAACTAGTCTCAAAGAAAAGCAGCAGCCGGGTGGTGGTGGCGCACACCTTTAATCCCAGCACTCGGGAGGCAGAGGCAGGCGGATCTCTGTGAGTTCGAGGCCAGCCTGGTCTACAAGAGCTAGTTCCAGGACAGGAACCAAAAAGCTATGGAGAAACCCTGTCTCGAAAAATCCAAAAAAGAAAAAAGCAGCGAATGATTGCCTGATTGCTCAGCTTTTTGTTTTAATTAAACTTGTATACACGTTGGTACCCTGTAACTCAGAACAGCACTGTAACAAAACGAATGGTAGAGATGCCAGTGCTATGGGCAGCAGCACCCTCAACTGACTAGCACTGGCTAGGCTATGTAGGTAGACCACTAGAGTACGGGGTTATCAGCACAAAGATGAGAAACTGAGGGGAGAAAGAAAAAATTATAGAATAAGCTCCAAGCTCAGTCCTTTAAGAGGTACATATGAACACATTTGAAATTCCAAAGTGCCACTAGATCTCAAAGGGACATCAAGATCACTGGGTTGAGATCCAGGAGTCCTCAGATACTTGGGATGAGGTGGGATATGGGCGTGGGTTACTGAAGAGGTCAGAGAAGCAAACTTACACCATCTGGGAAATAGTCTCACTGTCAGGGTTTGATACTTACGTTTTTTTTTTTTTTTTTTTTTTTTTGTTTTTCGAGACAGGGTTTCTCTGTGGTTTTGGAGCCTGTCCTGGATCTAGCTCTTGTAGACCAGGCTGGTCTCGAACTCAGAGATCCGCCTGCCTCTGCCTCCCGAGTGCTGGGATTAAAGGCGTGCCCCACTACCGCCCAGCTTGATACTTGGTTTCTGAGGGTACTTGGTAGTTCATCCACAGGACTTGATCTTAGCTTGGAAGCTACATTAGTGACGGCTTCATTGATAAAGCATCCCACTTAATGTTCATGGCCAGAATGTAATTTTCACTAACTTCTTTTCTGTCTAACCCAGGCATGTGACACTTGGGCTGTGATCTTCTAGTCATCCTGGCCTCACCTTCACTGCTGGGCTGAGAACAACTCATTCCCTCTGAGAGGGCCCCTGTATGCACAAGCCTTTTGTATGTAACTTATTTTATATTAAAACTTTTCAAACATCTGTTCTTGGTGTTCTGATGCAGGGCAAAAGAAACAAAGTCCAGACTTTACTTGGAGGAGATAAAATTTTATTGTCCATCATTGTTATACAAAAATCTACAATAGATTTGTACAGGAGAAAAATATCCAACTGACTAGTAAACGGAAGCACTAACAGAAATAATTTAAACCTGCTTTTTTTCCTCCCATGATATTAGGATGACAGCCATTTCAAAGCATGATTCTGATGTCAAGGTAGCTTTTGTTCACTGGCCAAAGCTTGCCACTTAAATTAAAGCCCTTGGTCTCTGACAGTTCTACTGGCTCTTGACAAAACTTTTGAGGTCCTCGAGAAAGGTGATATATTCTTGATGCTCTAGGGCTGTACTGAGCTCCACCAACTCATCTGCAAAAGTGTTGTCAATCCCTCGGTCCTCAAGGAAATCCATCAGGTGGTCATACAAGGCCTGGGAAGAAAAACGTTGACTAGCTTAAAGAGCTGCAGACAGAGTCGGCAAGACAGCTTACGACGTGAAGGTGTCAGTTTCTTGGGACCCACATAGTGGACGGAAAAAACAAGGTAGAAGAAAGAACCAAGTCCCCAAAGTTGTCCTCTGATCTTTCCACACAGGCATGTACGGAAACACATTTTTGTTTTTATAACATCACTTCCATTCCTTGACCCTTCTCTGCAAAAGCCAAAGCACTCTCCACCTCCACCAGCACTTACCCAGTCCAGGGAATCTGTGTTGAGTGTGTAGTTAGTATCCCTCCATTCAGAGTCACCGGTGGCCTGAAAGCTAACTTCCTTGATAGAGAAAATATCACTCTCGGTATCCTCTTCTTGTCCAATCTGAGAGATAGCAGAGGCGTAAGGATGTGGTTATCTACCCTGCTCCCACCCCTCTCACCTGTCTTCTCTTCCCATCCTGGTCTAGTCCACATGAAATCAGAAGATACTCCACCCACACACCTCATCCTCAGAATAGTGACAGTCCAGTACAAGGGTCTTCTTGCTGTCACTCTTGGTAACTTCAACCACAAAATTGGGAGTTGATGTCAGTTCCGGCTGGAGAAACAGGAACAAGTCAGTATATGCAGTGCTGGTAGAGTGTACATACCCAGACCGACAACCCTGGGTGGTGCGGAGTGTGATAGCCACAGCCATCTTAAGATACAGCATTAAACAGTTACCAGTACTGTCAGCAACTTTCGTTCTAAAAGAACATGGGCTTAGAGTGGTGTTAAGTCCAGGACCACAGCTCACAGATTTGTACCAGCCCTTCAGAGCTGTTTCCGCTCTCACACTGCAGCAATGGCTGAAGCAGACAGACCTGGTGCTCCTTCCCCGATGGCTGCTTTAGAGCAGCAGGATTGGAGCCTGGCACATATAGCTCTGGCCACCTTAGCCAGAAAAAGGAGCAACTTCCTTCTATGGTGACCCAAAGGGCAGGCCCAGACATTGGGTGACGCACGCCTTTAATCCTAGCACTTGGGAGGCAGAGACAGGTGGATCTCTGTGAGTTCGAGGTGAGCTTGGCCTTTAAGTTCCAGGACAGCCAAGGTTGTTACATAGAGAAACCCTGTCTCAAAACCAATCCAACCAAACTAACACCAGTCCTTCTTGCCTTTTGGAAGAGAAAAATGGCTGTTAGAAGTATCAGCTCACCTCCTGTTCTTCAGCCTTCTCCCCTTGTGAGGGCTCCTCCTCACCGCCAAACGTTGGAGGGATGCTGTTGTTGATGTTGAAGGTGACAGTGATCCTGGAAAGGCAAGTGAAAGCACACTAAGGGACCACAAGAGAAAGATCTGCTCCAGGGAGGCAAGTGTAAAAGTGTGTGATACAATGTCTCCACCCCAGCTGGCTGCTCTGGGAACTGTCATAGCCACAAGGCTGCCATCCTGGGTTTCTAGGGAAGCTGATGGAGGTGGGCAGCCATCTGCCCCAGAAAAAAAAAAGCCTCACAAAAAACCGCCAAACAGACTCACTTTGCACAACCCCACACAGGGAACTGAAACACCCAGCAATGTTTTCTTTCCCCCTTTGTGAGGTCCTGGAGCTCAACAAACACCCTGTGTATGCTTGGCAGATGTTCACAGCTGCCCCTTTGTGAGAACTTTTAAGTTGAAGGTGACAAAACATGTTCTAAAATGAGAAAAAATTCCTTTGCCTTGACACCAGGAAGCAGAAGGTTCTCGACTATTCTGTCTCAGCAGGGCCAACCCATGTAAGCACGCACTGAATGCTGCTTCCTGGAGCCGAACTGGCCAATGGCTTGCTGTCAGGCCACTTTGCCAGATAAAAAAACGACAGACCACAAAGCATGCCTAACCTTGAACTAAACGGGGTTCCTCGGTCCACAATGGGCTGAAAAACCCCAAAATGACTTAGGTGAAGTTACAAGCGACCTATGTATAAGGCAAAACACAATACGCTGTACAAAAACAAACCGGACCCTTATTTCAAAAAGGGATCGCAGACCTTAAGGTCTGAAATTGGAGAAGTCTAAGAAAACAGACTCAAATGTTTGCACTGGTTTCTTCGTGCCAATGCTAAAAGGTCTAAGGTATGTAGCACTGGGGATTGAACCCAGAGCCTTACACGTTAGGCAAGCAGTTTGAACATGGTTTACATTCTTCCCCCGTGTATGCAGAAACTTAATTCCTAAAGTTAATGATATCTCCCCGATCTTCGGTGCTAGGGATCAAACCCAGGGCTCCATGCGTTCTACCAAAGAGTGACACCCACCAATCCAAGAGAGTGGAAGTATCAACCTGTGGTGTTTAGGAACGGGGCATTCACTGGCTATATTCAAGCCAGGTGGGCTCCTGCTCCAAGCCAAGATATCTGCAAAGGAAAAACCAGTCTTCTACAATGGTATCAACAGATACATCTACTGATCATACTTCATGGGAGGCCCCAATGATACTTTATACTGTGCTAGCCATGATACACTAGCCTCTTGGCAATGGGATTAAAGGTGTACCTGGTGGTTTGTGTTTAAGAAAAAGAGCTAGGCAGTGGTGGCATCGGGCATTTAATCCCAGTTCTCTGGAGGCAAAGGTAGGTGGATCTGAGTTCAAGGCCAACCTGGTCTACTGAGTTCTAGAACAGCCAAAATTAGAGAAACCTGATCTCTAAAAAACCAAAACAAAAAACAAAAATAAGGGATGGGGGGTATGGAGCTGGGTGGGTAGGAAGGAACTGGAAGGAGTAGGGGGTTGGGGGAGAGTGATTTCCAAGACTGAATTCTAAAGGTTTTAAAGAGACAGAAACCAGTACTTTATCATCCTGTTGGAAGGCCATCATCAGATGCACTCACACCCCAGAATCAACTACCCTCTTTTTTTCCGAGACAGGGTTTCTCTGTAGCTTTAGAGCCTGTCCTGGAACTAGCTTTTGTGGTCTAGGCTGGCCTTGAACTCAGAGATGCGCCTGCCTCTGCCTCCTGATTGCTGGGATTAAAGGCGTGTGCCACCACAGCCCAACTTTTTTAAGGGACAGGGTTTCTCTGTGTAGCCTTGGCTGCCTGGAATCCAAGACCTGGGGTTGAAGGTGTGTACCACCACAGCCCAGCCTGGAACTAGGGTTATTGGCCCCCACTCAATAAAATTGCTTTCTAACTCACACTGTGCTCGTGAGGCACTGGGAATTGATCCTGCCCTCACAAATGCTAGAACTTAGCCCAGGAGGACTTCTCTAAGGAAGACTGGGTGAATGAGTAACAAAACCGCAGAAACAAGGGCTTTAGGGGTGCCAGGTGTGGTGGCACAGGCCGTAACTTCAACACATAGGTGTCTGAAGCAGGAGGACCAAGAGTCCGAGGCCAGTCTGTGTTAATACAGCAAGATAGAGACCCTGTTTCACAAAGCAGTTTAGTGGAGGGAGTTCGTAAACTAAGCCTGGCTAAGAACTCTACCTCTGAAGGGCTGTCTACACTGTAACTTCATCCTGTTACTTAAACGTTACATATATTGCATTTTCAGCTGCTGTAAACACAAGTCGGAGAGGATAATTTTATGTGAATTCTAAACAAATGAATTTATCAGCACTTTAAATATTCCTAGGGGCTGGGCGGTGGTGGTGCGCACCTTTAAACCCAGCACAGACAAATCTCTGCGTGTTTGAGGCCAGTCTGTCTGGTCTACAGAGCTAATTCCAGGACAGCTAGTGCCACACAGAAAAACAAACCAAACAAGAAAAAAGAATCCTAAATTTCAGTGCCTAAATCCAGCACTGTCATCAGTAACCCAAGGCCTGTGTCTGCCATTCCAACAGACTTTTCTCTACACATTTTGGAGCTGCTTAATGTCTCCTTAATTACCGGCCCACAGCAGATGTGTATCCGTGAATGCACTCCTGGAACCTAAGAAAATTTCAAACTGCATGCTTTCTCAAAACCGGGGCCTAAGCAAGCGCAGAATCGTCTGGGAATGGACAAGACTGAATGCTGCAGAGTGGGGAATTCAGCCTCCTACAACTCCCGAGCCAGTACTTACTTTTCTCCAGCAACTTTGCGCAACAATTTAGCCTCTGTCCCGTTCACTTCCAGCTCCCAATCTCCAGACATCTTGGGAAGGGATTTATGCTTCTGGATTTTCTTCTCTTCCTTAATTTCATCCGTCAAGAATTCAACAAAGGCTTTGTCTCCTAAACCAAGATGATCCAAAAACAGAAAAGCCAATTGCTTTACCCTACAGACCTGGACGGTGTCTGTTCTTTTTCTGTGGCTGCTCCAAGACACTAGCCCAATTCACGCTTGAAAATGCCCGATTCCCACTCTGTAAAAACCCCAGGACATATTTACTGGGCTGCACTGCGTTCTAGAAAATAATCTTCATGGACTACGATTACTCGCCGCATATCCCCAACTACCCTCTTCCACTTGCCAAAGGCATGGCCAGCAACCACATTTTCAATCCAGGACCCCTCCGGGCCTTTTGCCAAGTCATATTTCGAAGACACTAGGAGAGCCTGCGATGCCAGCCCGGGATCCGTTCCAAGCTGGGCCCCCACACCCCGGCCTGGATGCGCGAACCTTACCCTCGGTGTGCAGAGCTCCACAGCCGCACGAGCAGGGCGCCGGGGTCTTCAGGAGGCCGGAGCGCCGCGCGGAGCCCGCTCGTACGCTGAGCAGCCCGAAGGGCCGAAGGCACGACCGGGGCGCGGGCTGCAGCAGCTGTTGGAGCGGCGAGGCCCGGACGGCGGCGCGGAGGCCCGAGGAAGCGGCGCCCAGGGCGCGGGGCACGCAGCGCAGCAGGGGAAGCATCGCAGAGCAGGCACGTGCGAGGTAAGGACAACCCGGCCAAGACACCCTACAAATCCTTGTACTACCGGAAGTCCCGCCTCCGCCCGGGAAGCTCTTTTACGTCAGAGGGCGTCAAGCCCCGTACCAGACTGCGCCCTCTGCTGGGAGCCGCCAGTGCAGCTGGGGGGGCCCTCGAATCCTGCAGTAGTGTCCTCTGCCTTGCTGCCCTCTCTCCCCAGTTCACCCACTTTTCTTAAACCGCACCAGGCTTTGTTACTTCGTGGAATGTGCTCAGGTCTCACGCCAACTCAAGCAGGAGCATTTACTCCAAAATCACCTCACTTCAAGGTCTTCTGGAACCGCCAATATGGGGAACGTTCAGGCTGGCCTGAACCCAGCTGCCGTGGAGTGGGCATTCAGTTTGGAAACCTCTATACCCCCTATTCATTCAACCAGGTTTTTTTTTTTTTTTAATAGACTATCCTTTTCCTGGGAACAGAAATTCATGGCTTACACTATTTAGGTAAGAATCAAGGATACTAGGGGGCTGGAGAGGTTTCAGTGGTTAAGAGCATTTGTTGCTTTTGCAGAGGACCACAACCATCTGAGTTCTAGGGCATCAGACACCCTTTTTTGACTTCCATGAACACCAGTCAACAGCAAACATCAAACGCTCATGTCTTATACTCCCAGCACCTGGGAGGCAGACAGCTCTCTCTGAGTTTAAGGCCATCCTGGTCCACACAGTGGGTTTTAGAACAGCCAAGGTTACATAGAAAGATCTTGTCTCAAGAAAAAAAAAAAAATCAAGCTGGGGGCGGGAGAGATGGCTCAGTGGTTAAGAGCACTGCCTGCTCTTCCAAAGGTCCCAAGGAGTTCAATTCCCAGCAACCGCATGATGGTTTACAACCATCTGTAATGGGATCTGGTGCCTTTTTTTTTTTTTTTTTTTTTTTTTTTTTTTTGGTTTTTCGAGACAGGGTTTCTCTGTAGCTTTGGGCTTTGGTGCCTGTACCGGAACTAGCTCTTGTAGACCAGGCTGGCCTTGAACTAACAGAGATCCACCTGCCCCTGCCTCCCGAGTGCTGGGATTAAAGGCGTGCGCCACCACCGCCTGGTTTCCGGTGCCCTCTTCTAACCTGCAGGCATACATGCAGATAGATACTGAGAATACTGTATACATAATAAATAAATCTTTAAAAGAAAAATCAAAAAATCAAGCTGGTGCACGCCTTTAATCCCAGCACTCGGGAGGCAGAGGCACATCTATATTCCCAGTACTGGGGAGGAAGATAAAGGTGGTTCTGTTTGAGTTCCAAGCCACCCAAAGCTACAAAATGAAACTCTAGATTAGCTTCAAAAGTTCTGCAGCAAGCTGGGCGGTGGTGGCGCATGCCTTTAATACCAGCATTCTGGAGACAGAGGCAGGCGGATCTCTGTGAGTTCGAGGTCAGCCTGGTCTACAAGAAGTAGTTCCAGTTTAGCCAAGGCTACACAAAGAAACCCTAACTCAAAAAAACCAAAAACAAAAAACAAAAAACCCAAAAAAACCAAAAAACCTAAATGTAGATAACAAGTCTTTCCAAATGAATGCCAATAAGACTAATGTTTAATATTCCAAACATCATTCTATAAACAAGGGAAAGGAGGCCCCCCAAAGGCCACATATATAAGATTCACATTTTCCCCCAAAAAGGCCACATATATAAATAAGATTCACACTTTTATAGATAGTCAAAAGCAAATTTAAGCATCGCACACAAGAACTGTTTTTATGTTATGTTTGAGATCAGATAGGAAACAGCAAAGTCCAAATCAACTTGGTATCTTTGCTCTTTAATTTTTTTCTACACAACAGCAATCAATATAAAATTTCCCCCCACAGTACAGTAGTCTAGCTGATGTGCTCAAGAATGGCATCTTGGATGCATGGCCATAGTTCCAAACAGACCCTGGTAGTTGGAGTACAAGGATTTGTGTCACAGTAAATGTTTGAAATCTTGTAACAACTGGCAGAGGTGCAAAGGTTTTCACTGGGGACCTGGTAATGAAACCATCACCGTGGGTGTTGCAGCACGGCTGTGTGAGGTTCATCTGTTCGAGGCTCCTCTGCACAGACTGGATTCTTCAGGCTGGAGAGTTCACCCACTGAAAAGCAGCTCAGGTCGCATCGCAGTAAAACCATGAAACAGTTGACTTTTTGTTGGTTTGGTTTTTCTAGACAGGGTTTCTCTGTGTAGCTCTGGCTATCCTGGAACTTGCTCCTGTAGACAAGGCTGGTCTCAAACTCACAGAGATCCACCTGCCCCTGCTTCCCAAGTGCTACGCTATGGTGCCACCACTGCCAAGCAACATTTTACTTTCTTAAGAAAGCTTAAAGGGCACCGTCCCTGCAGCTCAAGCAATCATTAACTTCTTTGTAGTAATATGGAGTCAGAATGGAATTTCCATCTGATTTAATCCCTGAGCAGCTTTATTAAAAAGATATTTTTTAAAAAGCCCAATAAAAAAACTAAGTACTCTATTAAAATTCTACCAGAATGTTAAAGTGATGAACATATTTCTGTACAGAGACATTAAATCTACTCCAACTGTCCTTCACCCTTTTCCGGGAAGGAGCCAGTCACTCCAAGTTCCCAGTACCTGCTCTGGAGTGAACCCATACAAGCTAAGTCTTTACTGACCCAGAAAACACCCTCTTACTTTACTGGGGAATATATTGCCTCCCCTTGTTTTCTTTTCTTTTTTTTTTTTTTTTTTTTTTTTTTTTGGTTTTTCGAGACAGGATTTCTCTGTGGTTTTGGAGCCTGTCCTGGAACTAGCTCTCGTAGACCAGGCTGGTCTCGAACTCACAAAGATCCGCCTGCCTCTGTCTCCCAAGTGCTGGGATTAGAAGCGTGCGCCACCACCACCCGGCTCCCCTTGTTTTCTTTAACCAGCATAATGAATGCTCCACTAAAAATACAAAAGTTTCTCTTACCAAGCAAGGCTAAATAAACACCCTTGCCCCTTTGTGTAAATAGGAAAAATACACTTTAAAAGGAAAAATTTTCTCAATAGCTTTTCAGAAAGTTGGTAATGTAACCATTTTATCAAAGAAGTCATGAGTACCCAGACAACCCTAAACACTGGCTAAAAGCTTGATTGCTCATGGTTAGGGTTATAATAAGCCCAGACCAGACTCAACATACATAGCTGTGGACCAGTGAGACCCTGGGAATGGAAGTACTCACTCAGGCTATGCTCTTTGGAAAGAACATGTTGGACCCAGAGAGAAGAAACTGCCTCCTATCTTTGAAGTACCTTGTAGGCAGTTTGGCCCCCTGCTCAAAAACAACACAATTCATATTATAATGAAGAATCCTAGCAGTAGAGCTGCGTTTGGACCAACTAATTAAAGGGCTATATTTGGCTTTTTCTAGGGTCAAACATTTTCTAGGAAAACTGTGCTTTTTCTCTCCTCTCTTTCCCTCCACTTGGACACAGGGTCCAGCCCAGGCTGGCCTAGAACCCAGTCTTCCCCTCAGCTGGATTACAGGTATGATCACCACACTAGGGACTGTTTGCTCCTAACAAGCAACTAAGATGAATCTTTTCTAGACAGGAAAGGGATGGCAAGGCTTCTCTACTTCCCTCTGACAAAATTAGACAGTGAAGGTCAGAGAGTGGCACCTGGTTAGGAAGTGGCAAAGCTAACTCTCCCCAGGTCCCTGCAACAAAGAGGAAAAAACCAGTAAGACCAAAACCACAAAGACTGGGAGTGGTGAAAAGGACAAACTGATACCCAGCTTCTGAGCCGTCAAGCCATCTGTCCCATCCCTGCCACCCAGCAGCTCCGACTAGGCTTCACCTGAACAGAGACTGCTGAAATGGGCGTGAAGCATCATGGACACACATTCGTAGGTGCCCACCCACGAGAAAACGATCACTGGGCTTCAGAAGGCTGCTGCACTGAAAAACTGGCTTCCCAATTTCAGGAAATCTGCATGTCTCCCGAAAGCACTGCTGGGGACACAGCCACAGAGGCACTGAGGACCAACAAGGAACTCCTTTGCTGGTTTCTGCTTGGAGGCGGACGAGAGAAGGAGCTACACCCTGAGCCATGAGGGCCAACAGGTCAGAATATATCTTATTCTGGCAATATCTGAGGGACTCAGTTTCTTCTGTTTTCTATTTCAAAGACATACAGGTCTTTAAATAGTAGTGGAGGCTGGGGACTGGCTCAGTGGCAGAGTGTTTGCATAGCATGCATGAGGTCCTGCATTCCATGAGAAGGGAGCAAGGGGGAAAAACACTGAGGTCAACCAATTGGATCTGTAGCTTCCTATGGCTCCTCCAAGAAACAGTCACAAGAGTTCAAGGGCTGTGTTGTACCTAATTACGTCACAAAGCACAATGGCTTATAATTTACTGATTGTCTTATCTTGTGCCAGGCAAACCTCTGGGTAGCTTTCTGTTCATTACTCTAAACTTCATTACTCTGAACTTCTAAGTCTTATCCCCCTCTGGCATATGAAGAAACTGAGGCTCAGAAGTTAATTCAGTCATTAGAAATTGCCCAGTCAAACCCAAAGCACAAGTCTCGTATCTCACGGTCTAGGCATGAGCACGTCTTTAGGCTGAGTCTAAAGAGTTTCATCAGCACTTCCAAGCTCTTGAACTCAGCGAGTCTGGCTGCACTGAAGGGTACGGTTCCTCCAGCTTGAGTCTACTTGGAAGATAGCTGTGATCTAAGTTGCAGGCCCAGCCATGCTGGCAGCATTCTGGGGTGGATCAGTTTCTGGCAGTTCTCAGCTTCCTCCGGAAGTAGTCAGGGGCGGCTTCATAGAGCCACTCAGCATCCACAACACAGAGGTCACGCATGTAGCATTTGTTGGTGTACAGCAGTGCAGTGTATACCACACAGGCAGGTTTGCAGTGGAACAGGACAGACGATGGGTGGATGGCCACTGGCTGGTGTGTGTCTGTGGTGGCATAGGTGCCATCTGGCTGGAGTTCGGCAGTACTCATAAAGAGGCTGTGAGCCAGGCAGCGCCGGACACTCTCCATGTCCCCTCGAGATGACATGATTGGCATTGACATCTGTTTTAGGAAACAGAAAAGACCCCAAACATTAATCCTCCTCAGCACTGCACGGTGCAAGGGGGCAGCAAGACCTAAAGAGTGGCCAACACAAAGTGAGATCTTGATTGACATCCAAAGGTAACATTTCAATCGCCATAGGCAGCAGCTCAGGTGAAGGATGAGGGCACAGGTGAGGGAAAAGAGATGGAAACCATCCAGTTTGAAGAGAAGCATTTTAAGATACAGGATGGGAACCAAGCGGTATGGTGGCATAAACCTTTAATCCCAGCACTCGGGAGGCAGACAGGCAGATTTTTGTGAGTTCGAGGCCAGCCTGGTCTACAGAGAGAATTCCAGGGCAGGCTCCAAAGCTACAGAAAAACCCGACCTCGAAAAACCAGAAAGATACAGGATGGGGGCTGGAGAGATGGTTTAGAACTTAAGAGCACTGGCTTCTCTTTCAGAGGACCTAGGCTCAAGTCAAAGCACCCAGGACCATCTGTAACTCTAGCTGCAGGGGAACTTCTAATCTTCTATACCACAGGACGAGAGAGAGAGAGAGAGAGAGAGAGAGAGAGAGAGAGAGAGAGAGAGAGAGACTGAGAGACTGTTCTAAAGGGAGGTAAAACACTAAAACACTCCATCCTGCAGGCAAGCTCACTAAGCAAACAACTCCAAGGCTTCAGAAGTCTGGAACCAATTTTCCTTCTTAATTTTTAGTAGTACTATTTAAAATCAGAAAATAGTTAAAAGTTTATAAAAATTTATGCATGAGATTCAGGGTTCCAGCCCACACTAGAATGAGGTGGGGGGGGGGGGGAGAAAAAACAAGCAAACCCAAATCACTATGGATTTCTAAGAATAAACCACAATAGTGAGAGAAAGAAAGAGTGGAACTATGGGTAGCTTTTACTTTCTTGTACATTTAAAATTTTTCCACAATGAGAATTCCTCTCATACCACTAGCAGCAAGCAATCCAAGACCCCCATAATTAAAACAAGAACTTCTTACTGAAAAGGAGGTACTACCTTTAAGCAGATTTCCCTCAGCTGTGCTCTGACTTCAGCTACTAGTAGCATATTCTTGCTGTTGACAAAATTCTCTTTGCACCAGTCCTGAAGAGAACAAAGAAGAGATCTCAATCCTCTTATTTCTATGCAGAGGAAACATGCATGTAACAAAATCCAGACTGCACCGCTGAATTCAGAGGGTTGTTCAGGTGTCAAAAGGATATAGGATAACACTTTTATACTGAAAAGTATGAACCATGAAAAATATGAATTGTTGAACCTGAAATAAAACTTTAAGATTTTCTTCCTAGAGTCGTCATGAAAAAAGCTACTGGAAATGCTGATAATGAATGCACCGCCATACCCAGAAAGGAAGAGCACCTCTAGAATATTAAAAACTAGTGAGAAAAGACCAAGAAATTGGTGAAAAATAGACAAAAGACATAGAAATGCCTAATACATATATGTAAGGATGCTTGTCTCCTGAGGTATGGAGGCAATACGGTTCAGAACAATGAAAAAACAGATGGTACAAGGGATTCCAACTGACAGCTGGAGGGACAGTGGAGACGGGCATTTTCCCACACTCCAGGAAAGACTGCCAGCCTGGAAGTGCCTGCTTGCCAGAGAAACTGAGCTGTAGAGCCCAGCCCAGTAAGTCTACTTGCTCACTTGTTGGCCCCACAGAATCTCCCTCGTGAGCACAGGGGGTCCCCGAGCAGGACACCACTGAGGTGATGGAGAGAGATGTAGCCGAAAGGACAGAATGTGGATGGATGTGAAGGACGTGTCCCCTTTTCTCTTTGTTTAGAGACAGTCTTAAAATATAGCCTGGCACAGTCTACCAGGCCCTGTTAAAAAGCATATCCTTAGTGCTGGGTGTGGTGGCACATACCTAGGGCCCAACACTTGGAAGGCTGACAGAAGGCTGATCACAAGTCCAAGGTCAACCTGGGTTACACTTATAAGCAAGACCCTGCTTTAAAGACAAACAAAGGGATGACAGCTTCTTGGTGGGACACACACCAAGGGCAGGTCAGTCTTCAGTAAGGAAGAACTCAGCACTTTGTTTAAACATAAATTGAGGGCCAGCAAGAGAGCTCAGCTGGGAAAGATGCCCACTGCCAAATCTGAATACCTGAATTAAACCCCTTGGACCCATACTATAGAAGGACAGAATCAGTTCCTCCAAGTTGTCCTCTGACCTCTACAGATGCCACGTGGCACATCTGTGTATGTGTGTGTGCGCACACCATGCATGTTTGAACACACATATACAAAGTGTAAATAGAAATAAAATAAATATAGCAAGGTGAACAAATGCTAAAATTGCAGAACAGCATTTTTTTAAAAGAATTCACTAAAGCACAATTACAATTTATTAACACACAAGAGAATATACTGACATTTTTCATCTTAGTACAAGGAACTGAAGTATGATATCAAAAAACTAGTATAACAGTTGAATAGGTAGGCAAGAACATCATCTTGTATGGTTTGAATATTCTTCAGTTTCATTGAATCCCTATTGTGACACATTAAGTGAAAACTTAATTCAGTTATAGCATTTGTGGACCAGTAAGATGGTTCTGTAGAAAAGTATTGGCCACGAAGCCTAATGACCCAAGTTCGAGCCCTTGGGTGCACATGGTAGAAGGACAGAACCAAAAGTTGTCTTCTGACTTCCACAATATGCTCCCTTGCCCCCATATAAACAAACAAACAAACAAAGTGCAATTTAAATGTAAAATAAGCTGGGTGTAGTGGCACTTCAGGCAGATCTCTGAATTTAAGGCCAGCCTAATCTACACAGTGAATTTAGGATAGCCATAGCTACGTAGTAAGATCTTGTCTCAAAAAAAAAAAAACAAAAAACAAAAAACAAAACAAGCTAGGTGGTGGCGGCACACACCTTTAATCCCAGCACTCAGGAGGCAAAGGCAGGCAGATCTCTGTGAGTTTGAGCCAGTCTGGTCTTATAAGAGCTAGTTCCAGGACAGCCAGGGCTACACTGAGAAACCCTGTCTTGAAAACACCAAAACCAAACCAAACCAAACCCCCTTAAAATAAATATTTGGGCATAATAGTAGCACATGCTCTTAATCCTAGCACTTGGCAGGAAGAGGCAGATCTCAATGAGTTTGAGGTCAGCCTACATAGAAAATTCCAGCTTTTGGAGTTATGTAGTGAGAATCTGTTTTGAAAAAGCAAAACAAATTTTAAAAACTTAGGGGCTGGTGACACAGGTCAATGGTTAACATAACCTGTTCTTTCAGAAAACCAAGTCCAATTTCCAGCACTCACATGGTGGCTTACAACCATCCCTGGGAATGATGCCTCTAGCCTCCACAAGAAGAGCCAAATAGGTAGTGCTTAGAAACACGAGAAGGCAATCATACACACATCACACAAATAGCCCAACTTAAAAACTATGGTGTTTATATCAGCAGTAGGACACCTGGAGAATGACTAGGGTTAAATAAGGCCAGAAGGCAGAGCCCCATGACTGGATCCCCACTGGTCCCTAATTAGGTGAGGGGAAGCGACCAGTCACACGTACACTCAAGTCCTCTTGCTGAGTGGTACTGTTTTACCTTGAAGCGTCAGACAAGGCCAGAATGAGCCAAAATACATCTCTTTTATTTATAAAATGGCCTCTCTCAAAAGACCTAAAGTTAGGCGTAGTGGCACACACCTTTAGTCCCAGCACTCCACTCGGGAGGCAAAGGCAAGTGGGTCTCTGTGTGCTCAAGGCCAGTTTGGTCTAAATATGAGTTCCAGGACAGCCAGGGCTATGGAGAGACCTTCTCTCAAAACAAACAAACAAACAAACAAAAAAAAACAAAACAAAAACAAACAAAAAAACAAAAAAAGAAAAAGATAACTGAGTGGCTGAGATAGGGTCTATTACTTAATTAACTTGTCCACAATTTGTGTTAAACACAAGCAGAATGAATACCTGAACCAATGTTTCGCTCTAGTGATTCCCAGCACGTACACATTTCTGAGATGACAGCTGGCTTTGTTTGTGTGTGTGACTCTTTTTGATGATTTTGTCCAAAAAAAAAAAAAAAAAGTATACTTAAAAACAGGCCTGAAAGAATGGATGTGCTCACCTTATTCCCACCTATGTTTTTGAAGGTCCGGTAGATGTTGAGCAGGGTGATGTGATCCCCCTCACTGGATATGAATTTCTTCCGGACATTCAGCACTTCATCTCTCCGGGCAGGAGGGTTATAAAGGACACTGTCCACAGACAGTAGGGAGACTATGGTCAGAATTTCTTCCGTACAATGGAATTTGGAGGACAGGAGGATAGTCTAGAAAGTCAAATTGAAAACATATGGGTCAGGTTTCCTGGCTTCAATTAGTGTTTCTGTACACTCTCGTGCAGTTTCCCTTCAAGGAGTGTGGTGGCTTTAAGACCGTAACACAGGGGCAATGCCATTCACTTCTTTGTAAAACAGCAAGATGCCATTCCCACAGGATCCCACACCTTTGTGGGTAGGGCTATGACTGCTGTCTGAATCCCACACAACATACATTAGCACTGTACACAAGTGCGGTGATACGTCATATTTAAGAGAACAAATGAGGTTAGTTCAGAAGCACTGGGCTTAGGCATTTCCTAAACTGCAATGTAGAGGAAGGGAAAAGAGGAAGAGGGGTCATTTACTTTGGCAAATTTGGGCTCTAAAGGAAATGCTGCCATCTTTCTTCCAATTGGAGTCAGGGTAAGCTGGTCATCCTTATGTTCAAGAGCACCTAACAGGTCCAGTTGGGCAATGGCCGCCTGAATGTGATCTACAGAAATGGAGACATAAAAAGGAGCCAGAAGTCCAAAACAGGAAGAAGATGCAGCTAGTTGAGTGCTTCTGGATGCTTATGATTCTACAAACACTGCCAAGACCACCCGCCACTGAGCTCACACGTTCCTAAGCCTTAATGGTACTACAAGCAAGAGACATATAAAGCAATCATGAGAGAGCAGATACCCAGAGGAATGGGAAAGAGACAAATGTCAGAGGCTAGGCTTCCATGGTGTGGGTAGCATCACACTGATGTTGGCTGTATTGCACTTTATAGTTTATATTTACTGCTCCTTTTTAGAAATTTCAAAATGAAAAAAAAATATATTACGAGTAGATCACTGTGCCCTGTGTGTTTTTTCTTTTCTTTAAGATTTACAAATTCCCACCCACAGGGACAGATTTTTCTTCAGAAGACAGCCAGACGTCTCTTGAGAGAAGAATTGAACTGAGGACCGGGGAGATCTGAGACACCTATTGATAGTTTACTCTCTCTCAACAACTGCATTTCCTTAAACAAAAGAAAACTGGCATGGTGATAAGAGTCTAGATGCCAAAGCTGCCACCATTTATTGTTAGTTCTTAAAGATTCTTCCTCCAGGAGAGATAACTAATGAAGGGAGGGACTAGTCAAATCCTAGTTTAACACAAAAGGCACACGCTCTCTTTATCCTTTCATTGGGCTTTATGGGCGTCCCATGGATGCCTGATGACCTCTGGTCCCTGCACAACGGTGCTGTAACATAGAACCTACCATTTCATAACAAATGAAATCAAATCAGCAAAACAACATGATCAAAATACATTTTTCTTTCTCAAAATACTTTTCCTGGGGGGGAAGAGCTCCTGTGCTATTTTCTGTCTGTCTGTCTATCTACCTTCCAGCTTACCCGGAGATGGTTTGGACATGAAGTCAAAGGTGAGGACATTTGGGACTCTCATGGCTAGCAGCTGCAGCATCACACTTGCCAGGTTACACCTGTGAGGGAGAAGTGAGGATTAGTCAACTGTCCCTGACCCCACTGGGACAAAACTGCTCCCTAGAGAGCATTAGCAAAGGCTGCAGTCTGTGGACAGGAACAGAGGGAGGAGGCTGGGATGTATGGCACAGTACAGACACAACCTGGACCTACCTCTGAATCTCTGGTACCGTCATCTTCTCAAACTTCTCAAACTCATCCTCCGTGTAGAGCCGGTAGCAGATGCCACTGTCCTCTCGGCCAGCCCTCCCCGTGCGCTGCCAGGCCTGGGTCTTTGACACTCGTTGTACAGCTAGTACCTCAAGACCACTGTCTGTAGGGAGAGAGGGCCGTGAGTGTTTTGCTTCATCACGTAAGCAAACTGTTTCTAGAGTGCTGGCAAAACCAAAGATGCTGAGTACCACTGAGTGTTTCTGCAACATAGGGGTCTGGAAAAACTCAAGGCTTGACAAGAAAGCACAGACCCAGGCTGCTTGGCCACTTTAAAACTCACAGTGAAGCAAGTCTAGCAATGAGTCATGTGTGAAATGTTACCAAAAACAACAACACCCTCTGCAAGCAAGGTGGCAGGAGAATGGTTTCAGAAGTTTGGGCTTACATCATGGGAGGGCCAACTATTCCAGTGGCCTGACACTGAGGGTTTCTTGGGGATTTTGGTGCTGAGTTTCTACCTAACAAGGAAGGCTGGTCATATATCAACCAATGATGACAAGGTCCTTTGTCTTCCCTCCCAGTTCTATAAGAAAACAAATCATGTGATATTCTTTCCCCCCTATAAGTAAAAGACATCAATTCTCTCAAGTACAGGAATATTTTGTGTCAGACACTAGAGACTGACACTTTGTCACCAGGAGTCGACCCCTCCAGTGCTTAGTAGAACACGCCAATTAAATATTGGGGAGTAATATTAATTGTAGTGGCACCAAATCCTCTGTAGAATAAAGCAGAGTATGAATCAGAAATGCATAGAACTGACTACAAGGCAGCTTGACACCCGTAAGAAGAGAGAGCGAGCTCCCTCTGTGCTCACTGGGAACCCTGTCCAGCCGGGTTCCCATACAATCACGCTCTGGTAGCCACCTGGAGAGCCTACCACCGGTAGCAGGCTGTCCCTGGCTTTCTTGCCCCCATTCTCACCAAGCTTCCTGTGGGCTTTCAGACCTCAGTCCAGGCCGTCATCTGGCCTGTTTAGGTTCTCTGAAACTGAGTTCTTCCCTCTCTAGACCTCCTGCCTCAGATCTCTTTTACAGACATGACTTGGGAACTGTCCCTGTCACTCAAATCCCAGCTCCTCACAAACATGAAATGTTTACTTAGGAGGAAATGGTGGGGTTTTCGATTTTAACCGTGCTTGCTATACACAGGAGACATTCATGAGCTACAGTTTCTCACCAGGGTTATACTTCTTTGCTTTAACCATGCCCGTGTCAACTACATATTTTATTCCTGTAATGGTTATGGAGGTTTCAGCGATGTTGGTTGAAATGATCACTTTGCGATAGCCCTAAAAGGAGGAAGAAAACCAAAAAGCCATATGACACACACATGAGTCAGAAGGTGAAAACTCTAACTATGCATTTCCACAATTTGCTTAAAATCAAGAAAAGGTGACTTCATTATTAGTAGTAGTCATAGCAATTTCAGTCGTTACACTTGACGAAGAACAAAGGGAAAGGAGTACACTGGTCCTTCACTGAGGTCCCGAAGATTAATTTGAGGCAATGAGATGCAGTGGAACAAGATTCGAGGTGGGTAGACAGACAGGAGGTGGAATGCTGGCCCTGCCGGGATCTTACTATGTGTGCTTTAAGCAATTCCCACCTCCCTTCTTGGGGGCCTTAGTATCCCTCACGGGATTCCATGACAATGAGAGATGATCTATGTGTCAGCACTGTCTGGCACATAAACAAATGGTACATGGTACTGTGGCTTATGCCAGCTCTTAGAAGAGCCAAACCTTTTAGTCTCTACACCTTTGTGCCCTCCCTCATCTCTCCCTGCAGCTGTGGACTCTACACCTGTTCCTCTCCAGTAGCTGACCTGGTACCTAAACGTTCCTCCTTCAAGCTTTCCTGGATCATGGTGACAGGCACACAGGCCCCGTTGTAGATCTGACTTGATGCCCAGTGACATGGCTGGCAGAAAGGTGGCACCGTACTCACCTTTGGGGCCCCTTGAAAGACTCGAAGCTGCTGTGAGTAGGGCAGGGAGGCGTACAGAGGAAGGACGAGCATGGCAGGGCAGCCGTCAGGGAGGTGCTTTGCAATGTCTCGGCAGGTCTTGCTCATTGCTTCGATTTCCTCCTGACCAGTAAGGAACACTAGGATGTCTTGAGAAGAGGGGGCTTCCTAGAGAGAGAGAGAACACTGATGATTGTGATGTTTCCAAGAGGGTTTTTATTTTCTGTTTCACTTTTTAATGATGAAGATAAACAAGTCTGGCAGTGGCACCTCCCTGGGAGAAGATGCTTAGCAATGAACAGAGCTGTTACCACGAGAGTCAGCCAACTATGTTCTGAAACCAGGTAATGAAGTTTTGCAGGGAAATTAACATACTGTATTTGTAAGACAATACAATGAAAGCCTAGGTAAATCTGTATAAACTTCTTTAAGCTAGATGGCTCAGTAGCAAAAGGCACTATAGTGGTGTTTTATTTATGTTTTAATAATTAAGCTTGCCTGAAGGGTAAAACTAAGCCACTAGAGGTCAAGCAAAAGTGTTACACACCTTTAATCCCAGAATTTGGGAGACAGAGGCAGGTGGATCTCTGTGAGTTCAAGGACACCCTGGGCCATGCAAGATCCAGAAATAGATCCAGGTGGTGGTGACTCATACCTTTAATCCCAATACTACGGAGTCACATGCCTTTAATCCCAGCACTAAAGGGGAGTATAAGACGGGAGGAGACAGAGGCTCAGGCTCAGCCTGCAGTCACCAGCCTTGGCAGAGGTAAGACTTCCCTAGTGTCTTGACTGTTTTGCTTTTCTGATCTTTAGCTTGAACCCAGTAGCTGTCTCTGGGTTTCTATTATTCGTGCTATAAGGCACCTGCTGCCAAGGCTGCCAGCCTGAGTTCAATTCCCAGGACCCATGTGATGGAGGAAAGTAAGACTCCTTAGGTTCTTCTCTGACATCCTCATGGACACTGACTTCAGCAACTGTGCCCCCATTGAGCCTGCCCACGTAAAGGTGCGAAGAGAACCAACTCCACAAAGTCATCTTCTGACCCCCCGATGTGGGCTCTGCCCACACACATCAAGTAGAAACATGTACCCCCTACCCACAATAAACTTCTAAAAATAAAATTACATTAAAAAATTCCCATCTGAATTTTGGCCACACTTAATTTGGCAAGCACTTTAATCACTGAACAACTCTCTCAAAAACTTTTGAAAACACCCCAGGACACGCGTGGAGCATACTTACAACTGCAGCATTCAGGAAACCTAGACAGGAAGGTGGCAGGTTGGAAGCCAGCCCGGAAGCCAGTGGCAAGACTAGACATACTTGTATAGCATTCTGGGTTGCAACATAATATATGCTTTAAAGACAAGTATGCTGCCCACTCTTCTAACGTGTAAGAGCTTTCTAGACAAGTATGCTGCCCACTCTTCTAACGTGTAAGAGCTTTCTAGACAAGTATGCTGCCCACTCTTCTAACGTGTAAGAGCTTTCTAGACAAGTATGCTGCCCACTCTTCTAATGTGTAAGAGCTTTCTAGCTCAGACAACAGCTACCGATAATTGATTTATCTTTCTTTTTGGAGAAAATACAAAATATCAAAAAAGAGGCAAAACAGATAAAGCAAATTAACCTTTTTTTAGACGATCACTTCATTACATTTATTGATTTGTGTAAATGGCACGCGTGGAGGTCACAGGAAAACTTCAGAGCCGGTTCTCTCTTTTGACCACGTGGAGCCCAGGGTTTACACTCAGGTCCACAGGCTCAGAGCCAAGCCCCTTTACCTGCTAGGCATCTCACTGCTCACAGATGAGCTTTTCCTGATGATACTGCTCACAACACTCTCAGATTCAGTTGCTTTTCTTTCAGAGGCTAACTGTTCTCACAATTAACTGTAAAGTGAAACAGAACTTGCCAGGAGGAACTTTCACCCCTTTCCATACCTGGTGGATCTGGAAGACTGAGATAAGCGCTGCGTGCAGGTAATCCTGCTGAGGCTGTTTGGTATAGAAAATTTGGATTGGGTGCTGCCGACCTTCAAGGTACAGGACAGGGGCTCCATTGAAATACTGAGAAAACAGGTCAACATCCATGGTAGCTGACATCACAATCACCTACAGAAGAGAATGAGAATGGGAAATAAATACTGGACAGTATTTCTACAAAGCAGATGGCTGAGGCCGGTATCGCTCCCACCATGGTTAACTTTCTCCCATGTGCCTGAAGCACCCCTGAAAGACAGCCTTGTCCTTATGCACAGTCCACATACTTTGAGAGGCAGTTTCCCTAGCTCCTTTCGCCTCTTCTGCGCTGCCTTCACCACTCCAAAGAGCACATCTGTGTGGATAGTCCGCTCATGGGCCTCGTCCAAAATGACACAGCTGTACTTTCGAAGCAAGGAGTCTGAAATTGCTTCTCGAAGAAGCATGCCATCTGTCAGGAACTTGATCCTGGTGTCTTCTGAAGTGACATCCTCAAAGCGCACAGTATAGCCAACCTGAGAGAAAACATGGCTCCTTTATTAATTAAACATTTATTGAACACCGGTCAACTGTCTACCCAGCCCTGTCCTCAGCATTCTATGTGGAGAGACGAACACTGGACAATTACCATTAGCAACGAAGCATCACAAAGAATGAAAATCTAGAGAAAGGAATGAGCAAAAGCACTTGCCCCGCAGGCCTGGCAATCTGAGTCCAATCCCTAGAGCCAGAGATGAGAGAATTGACTCCCAAATTGTCCTCTGACCTCCATACTGACACACACTAATAAAAGGAAAAAAAAAACCACATACCCTAACCTTTAAGCTACTTACGTACAGACATGAAAAGTTCAAACTATTTTTATTTGTAACACACATATACAATACAAATATGAATCTGTCTCCTACATAGTTCCAAGACTCATTCTATAGACCTACATTAAGTACAGCGTTCATATTTTTATAAAAATACATATTTCATACATACATGTAATAGATGTAAAAGAGGTTTCTGGACAGACAAGATACTGCATGCTTGTAATTCTAGCCCTTTGGAGGCAGAGGCAGGAGGACTGCAGAAAGTACAAGGCCACCCTGGTCTATACGTCTATATTCTAAGTTCCTTCCATGCTAGCTACAAGTAAGAGCCTGTCTCAAACATAAACAACGTGTCTTAAAGTCTTAAACTCGTAAACTAGGTGTGAAGGGTCCAGCTCAGTGGCGGAGCACTTGCCTCGTATGTTCAATCTCCAGCACCTCTAAACAAGAAAACATCTGATTTACTCAACTTGCCAATAGCTGTGAAACCAAAGCTAACCAGACTAAGAGCTCTGATCTCTCTAGAATTGGGAAAACTCTGAGCTTAGCTCAAAAGCAGTGGCAAGGAAGAAGCATGCTATTCAACTGAGTTTTGAGGCACACCCTTGTCATCGCAGAATACAAGAGGCTAAGGCAGCAGGACTGAGGATTTGGAGTACCAGGCCAGCCTGTGCTACATGTGGGAGACCCCAATCAACATAACAATGGGAGTGGGAGGTGAAGGGTGCTGGAGAGCTTGTTCAGAAAAATATAGGGCAGAAGCACAGTAGGTGCTGGTTAGTATGTAAAGCAAGGAGGTACCAGCTTCCCGAGTTCAGTCCTCTTCTCATCTGAGACTCTAGTAGCAAGAGAGATGGCAGCGACTCGACGGGGCTGGGTCACTGCAATGATGCCCTGGCGGCTAATTCCCCCTTCATAGAGATACTGTGGGATCTGAGTTGTCTTCCCAGAACCAGTTTCCCCTAGGAGAGAAAAGAAACTGGATATGGTGACACATGCCTTAATCACAGCAGGAAAATCTTTCTGAGTTCTAAGCCAGCTTTGTGTACACAGGAACTTTGTCAGTTCCAGGACAGTCAGTACCACATAATAGATTGTCACACAAACAAACAATAAAAACATCCTAAACTTTTAGAATGTTTACAATTCCACTTGCAGAAATTTGTCTACGAAAACAAAGACGTTTATTCAATGATGGCAACAGTACTGAAAGCGTGTATAATAGTATGAGTGCTGGTCTGAGTAAGTACGGCCTCTGTAGACTCATCAGTTCGAATGCTTGGCCCATAGGAGTGGCACTATTAGGAGGTGTGGCTTTTTGGAGGAACTGTGTCCACGTGAAGGCAGGCTTTGAGGTCTCACATATATGTTCAAGCTACACCCAGTGTGGCACACAGTCTCCTGCTGCCCATGGATCAAGAGGTAGAACTCTCAGCTTCTTCTCCAGCACATGTCTGCCTGCACGCCACTATGTCCCACCACGACAATAATGGACTAAACCTCTGAACTCTAAGTCAGCTTCCATTAAATGTTTTCCTTTAATAAGAGTTGCCATGGTCACAGTGTCTCTTCACAGCAACAGGAACCCTAAGACAGTAGGTAACTGGTATAGATACAACATAAAATGAAATATGACAGGGCTGGAGAAGTGGCTCAGTGGTTAAGAGCTTTGCCTGCTCTTCCAAAGGTCCTGAGTTCAATTCCCAGCAACCACATGTGTTCACAACCATCTGTAATGAGATTTAGTGCCCTCTTCTGGCCTGCAGGGATACATGCAGGCAGAACACTGAATACATAATAAATAAATCTTAAAAAAAAAAGAAAAGAAAAAAATGAAATATGATAGTCATGTAGATTGATAAATACTGATTGAAGAGATGTCTATTCATACATTGCTCACCCTTCTCTGGCTGCTGCTTGCTTCAAATCTTTGCTTTTGCCTACACTATCATGGGTACAATACCTACCTGCGTTCATACTAATTGGCAAGTTGCAGGATGAGTCAGACAGCAAATTCTTACCCTCAAGGCTGTACCAGTGGCCCTCATCTCTGGAATCCTTAGCGCCGTGAATCTCTCTTCTAGCACAGATCATTCCAAACAGTACAGAAGCACCTGAATGTTTCTGCCCTCTTCCAATACCTGAGGGCAGAGGTCTCTTCATAGGCTTGAGTACCCTGCAGAGTGGAAGCCCCTAATAAGGGTTGTTTCCTACCCTCTGTTGGTACCTCTAACAGCACCTGCACACCCTTCTTTGCTACGACTTATCCCCTTTAATGAAGTCCTCCAGTCCCATGTCTTGCATTTTCTCCCAGTTCCCAGCTGCTTCTGACTGTTCACCTTTCTTGACTTAGCCAAGAATCTCGGACTAAGAATTTGATTATCCTGCAATTTCCCAGTGAATCCTCCACACGACCTCAGACTTGGATCAATGTCTCTTGTGCATCTTTCCAACTCCTAGTCTAAGGTAACTGAAGATTGTAAAAACAAAATATGCCAACCATGCAGATGTAGGACCAAAATGCACCTGAGCACCAGCTCTACTGTGCATCGTGTTTCTGGTTTTGCAGCCTGTCTCTGTCTCCATCTCCCCGAGGGCCTACTTGCAGCTCTAGGACTTTTGTTCTCACAGGGACTCCTGCATCTGAGTCAACAGAAAGCTCTCAAATGTGATTTCTCTCCCTGCTACAAGGGCTTCTGCAGCACTCTGCCTCCTCTGAGGTGGCCTTTCTCCTGTGCCAGGTGGGCTCCTCATAACACTTGTCGCCAGGGCCCCCCTTCCCTTACACTTCCTGACCTTTGTTCCTTCAGCTCTATTCTCTCTTCAGTGTCTCTCTGCTCTGTAAATATTTATAAGTTCCTTGTGTCCCTCTCCCTTGTTTGGCCAAAGCAGGAACCAGTTTTCACTGCCTTCACTCTTTTACCTCCTAATCACTTCTCGGTCAGTTCTCTTGAGAAAGTCCTCAGTAGGAGGGATAACCAATACCATGCATCCAAATCCAACGTGCACATCCCCCATTTTGTCTCATTATTACGGGACTTTGTTGAGGCCATGCAAGGAGACTGACAGGCAGCACTGGAAATCATGGAACATGGCTTGGCGGTCAGCAAAACGTCATCAAGTGAGCCAGAGTGCCAGGGACTAAACATCCTGAAGACCTTGTGCTGTTGTTGAGCATAACTGTTTATTGCCTTTGTGGTCACCATGTCCCTTATAATCTACTGGCTGTATGAAAACTCTCGGGAGGCTTCTAGCCCCTCACTGGGCAATGTTACTGGTACTTACAATAACAGTGACTGACTTTTTCCAGGCATTGCTGCTGGAGCAGATTAACGAGTCAACCACCACCCTCAGAAAGAATTTAGACATGTACAATTGTTAAAAGGTTAGGTTAAGATGTCTCTGTCATGACTCCGATGGAGAAAATCTTGGGGAACAGTGTAAAGTTTAGAAAAGTACACTTTTAATGGTTGAGTAAGGGACTCGCTGAGGGCAGGGAACAAGAACAATGGCAGCCTGGATCCTGCTGCCTGCTGTGCCTTTCTCGCTAGAAGGGGTTGGTGATCAAGGGTGATGATTATTTCCTGGTACCCATTTCTGCCTTCAGTTTCCTAATAAGATTCAATAATAATAATAATAAAAAAAACCCGTGATGAATGGGTCTGCACCCTGAGGGTTAAAGTGGAGCTGACTGATTGTTTTTCATATATAAAAGTTTAGACTTGTGATTAAGATTTTAACTTTTGAGATAAACAATAAAATGACCGATCCTTTCTTTGTAACCACAAAATGAAGCCAAAAGTGAAAGAACTGGCTAAGAAAGTATCTTGCTTGCTTACACTTTATTAATCTATAACAAGGTGCTTAGACATGAATATATGTGGGTCTTTGGGAATGATTACAATTACGTAAATTGTTTAATCATGTAAGAAAACGAGAAATATGATTTTTTTTACTTGTATTCATTATAATCACTCATTTGAAAAATAGAATGTAACTACACTGTACTTTTTATACTGTTTGAAATATTCTGTAGGGATATATAAACTGAAAATAATGAAGATAGAGAGATCCTGAAAGAGTGTCTTCGTGTGTGTGTTTCCCCTTTTCACCAGCCCCACAGAGAGTTTTGCATCGCTCGCTGGCCTCAGGGAATTAAATTTTACTCCCCCTGATTAGGGGGATAAAAAGCACTGGGGAAGCAGACGCAGGTGGATCTCTGTGAGTCCGAGGCCAGCCTAGTCTACTGAGTGAGTTCCAGGACAGGCTCAAAAGTTACAGAGAAACCCTGTCTCGGAAAAAATAAAACACAACACAGTTAAAAAAAATTGTTAAAAAAAAAAAAAGCCAGCTCCACGCCTCCCCTCGGGGCCCGAGCTTGTAAAAGCTGGGATTTAGAGCTCTCCACTCCATCCTCAGAACTCCAGGTCAGTGACAGCAGCCACTCGCCGATCTTTTTTCCTCGCTCCTTCAGGAGCTCCTCTTTATTAACCATTGTGGATCAAAGCCCCCTTGAAATCATGCCCTGCCCTCCAACTCTCCCAAGCTCTTCTCGTACACAAGAAACTGGTGTCCGTGAACTGAACTGTTTCTGACTGCCAGTCTCTCCTGCGTCCCCAGGGATCTGCTCCGCAGGTGCTGCCTCCTCAAAGCCTGGGGGAGGCCCGCCCTTCACAGCTCTAGAGCCTCCGAGATGCACCGACAGCCTGTGATAGAAGTGTGTCTTTACCGCCACACATGCCTGTCACTCGCACCGGGCAGTCAGCGCCAGCAGACTAACTCGTCCGCCTCTTTCCCGAGTTTCTCGTCCATGCCGGCACAGAAAACCTTTCAAGTTTGTTGAAGAACCCAACGCCAAATTGCCCTCGCAAAGCCAGGACGCTCCCGCCAAAGTGGCCACTCACCGATGAGGACCGCACTGTCCAGGTTTCGGAGCTGGGCCAACAGATGCCCCCGCGCCCGGAAGATGGGCAGGCTCCGGCGCTGCAGCTCCAGGGCCTCGCGGTAGGGACTGGCTGAGGGCTGGGCCAGCGGCGGTGTCTGCCTCCGGTTTCCTCCTGCTCCACCGCTGCCAGGCGCCAACAGCATCACCACTCGCCTCCCGGGAGGGCAGGAGCCCGGCCGGAATCTCTTGGCCGGCGGGAGGGCCGCCTCCTCCGGCATGTCGGGAGGACTGCAGCAGGAGGCCGCGGCGCCGTCGGCTCGGCTACGCCGTGGACCGCAAACGCGCACCGCCCCTTTCTCTCCACGTGCAGGCGTGTCGGGGCGACCACCGATGATCTCACTGCCGCCGCCAGACTTTAGGAAAGGAACTCCAATTCCCGATATGCATTGTGGGTTTGGGTACCATTTACATCCTGTAAGAGCAAGGCCTGAGGTGCGACCTTAAAAACTGCCCGAGCAGCAACAGGGAACGATAGCTATGTGGTTCCAAAAGCCTTTATTGGCTAACGACGTTGTCCTTTCGGATTCCCGTTATCACAAAATTATTTCTTTCCGATCTTCAACAATAGTCACGTTTTAAGGATGTTACTTAATTTTGTAAAATCAACGAGGAACGTAAACAATGCACATTTTAAGGTACCCACTGGCATCTGATTGACAAATATAATGAATTTTCTGAGATTAAAGTCATTCAGATGCTTCAAAGAATCTTGAAAATGTTACTAGTGAATATCTTGAGTTACAGAAAAGTGATCGATGATCCTGACAGCATGTATTTCCCTCAAAAAATTATAAGTTCAAATAATACAAGAGGAAAAAAAAGAAATTGTCTTTAACTCATCTCCCAGTAATTTCTATCAGATTCTCAAATCAGATCAAATCTATCAGATTCTTTACAAAGCTTTCTGGTCCTATTGTGCACACCTTAATCAATGGGATTATTCAGTACTCCCAGATAAAACTTGCATATAATCAGTTCTTCCTTGCTTTTCCAAATACAAGATCTTAGATGCTTTGCTAATTCAACACAGAAAGACTGGCAAGCAATTAATGGTTAGCTTAACATTTTTCTTTTTGGGAGGATGTGGGCTTTTAACTTGTGTGTATGTTTGTGAGCTATTTGCATGCAATATTCACAAAGGCCAGAAAGAGGGTGATGGATCCCCTGGGATAAGAGTTAAAGGCAGTTGTGAGCCTCCTTTTGAGTGCTTGGAGCCCAGGTCCCCGGGAAGAGCAGCCAGTCCTCTTAAGCGCTGAGCCTGTTCTTCAGACCAGTTTGCTTTTTCTTACAGGGAATGTGACTGCCAGTGAATAAACATGCTCTCAACGCATGTGAATGATATTCACCAAATTTAGTACGTGGACTTACTTTTTAACCCCCCCCCCCCCACGCACACACACAGACATGGACTTTTCCCAGTCTGTTGTGGAATCTGATGTGGCCTGTGGCCTTGGTCCTCTGAGATGCTTCAAAGCCTTAATAAGAATTCTAGGTCCCCATAAAACCCTACTATACCCAAGTTTACCAGAAAATTTGCGTAGGAATCAGGTTAATGACCATCCTATATAAAATCAGGAATGCTTTCAAGATTAGTAAAGCCTTCCAATCCAGTTCTACACATGCCCACAGCCATCATTAACTGATCCATGTCCACTCGAAACATCATGTCGACAAGCTGTGTTAGATGGCAACATGAAATATCGCTGTATACTTATCTAAATACCATTTACAATGTGGCTTTCATAAACATATCTGATTAGCTAAAAACCAAGTCAAACAAAAACCAGATATTTTCATCGAGCTTCCAACAATATAACTAAGGGCTAATAAAAATGTCCATGTTGAGTGTGTTTAGGATGCATTTTAAGAATATACTGACTTAGCTGGGTGGTGGTGTCGCATGCCTTTAATCCCAGCACTCGGAAGGCGGAGACAGGCAGATCTCTGTGAGTTTGAGGCCAACCTGGTCTACAAAAGCTAGTTCCAGGACGGGCTCCAAAGCTACAGAGAAACCCCATCTCAGAAAAAAACAACAACAAACAAACAAACAAAAACCAACCAAACAAAAAAGAATATACTGACTTGAGGCTGGAGACAGAGCTTGAGGTTAAGAATGCATACTGCTCTTTCAGAGAACCCACGTTTGCTTCCTTCTACCCCTGTCAGGCAACTCTCATCTGTAACTCTGGCTCCCAAAGGCACCCGACCTGATGTGCATACAGTCCACACACACACACACACACACACACACACACACACACACACACACAAGTATATATACTTTTACATTTATAAGTTATAAAAAATAACAAAATAAATTTTAGAAAAAAATAAGTTGTTGTTTTGCTCCCCTTCCCCCCACCCCTCCACCTTGTGTTGATTTAGGAAGGCAAGCAAACCATTATAAAGAAAAATAACTTACATCAAGTTATGGACCTTGAGTAAATAAAAGGCAAATGCCAGTCTTTTCTTTGATGCACATTCCAAACAACCCAATGTGGGAGTCTTACAGTCCTAAATGATTACAAGAATCCAAATAGGTCTAGCTGGGCAGTGGTGGCGCACTCCTTTAATCCCAGCACTAAGGAAGCAGAGGCAGGCGGATCTCTGTGTGTTCAAGGCTGGCCTGGTCTACAAGAGCTAGTACCAGGACAGACTCCAATGCTACAGAGAAACCCTGTCTCAAAAAACCAAAAAGAATCCAAATAGGTCATATAAACAAGTGTGAAACAGTAGGTAAAACACCTCTCTCTGGAAAAAAAGAAAAAACTTCATACATTTATCTTGTGTGGAGAGAGTTCAGAGAACTTATGTTAAATTGCTTCTCTCCTTCTACCACATGGGGCCTGGGAATTGGACTCAGGTCAGGCTTGGTACTCACTAAGTGCCATTATCTCTGGAGCTATCCCACCAGCCACAACACACACACACACACATGCTCCCCTTCTCTAGAAGCACTCACTAATCACAGGCAACAGAGTTATGATGCAAGCCATTCTTTTTTAAGAAAAGCAAAACAAAAATTTGTTATGGTTTTAAAATATTGGCTCAGTTTTTTTTTTTAATGAAGGCAAAATGTAACTTTTCTATAAGGAACTCGTCCCTAGTAACCCACTTACTCAGTAGCCTCAATGATAAAATAATCAGAGTTGAAAACTTTAAATATTTATTACATAAACCATGTTGTCCACATGTCCTTCAGCGACAGTCTGAAATCTGCTGCCCCTCCAAACAAGTCTCCTGTGGTTCAGTGGCTTTTATATAAAGAAGCTAACACACTAAGCTTTCATATCAAGAAGCTACCACACTAAGTATTCAAAAGAATATCCTGACCCTTCTTCTAGAAGACGATCCTTCAGACACATTCCATTCTTATCTGAGGTGGTGAAGTCTGTACACCTGACTCCCTGTTCTGACTGGGACTATACCAGCTCATGGTCACCTTGGCTTGCGTGGCCATTAAACCATTGCCTTGATCATGTTTATCTTTGCTCCATACTGTTTTCAAAACAATCTTAAATTTCAGCAACTAGGTACAAGTTCGCATACATACATATTAATCCTTTCATAATTAAAAATACAAGATAATAGTTTGCTGATAAATGAACAAAGTATTTATTCAGCACCCATGTGCCAAGCACAGTGCTAGGCACTGTGGTCGATACAAAAATTAAGACATAGTCCCTGCCCTTAAGGAGCTTACATTCTCATGAAGGAAACAAAACTAACATGTAGCAGCTAAGAACAGTACAAGACAATGTATGGTTTGGTATAAGAATTTTAGTACAGATTTGAAGCTTCATAGGGATTTAAAGAAGACAATGATTGAGTGTTAGGGTCTTCAAGGACTAAAGAACTTAAATTGAGGTCCTTGCTAGGTGGAAGTGGGAGCAAGCTTCAGAGGAAGACAGATATGCATTTGATAAGGGCCAAGAATTGACTGCAGACTTCTGAGTAGAGCCGCTTAACCGTAAAAGCAAGGTTCAAGAGCTTTAATGAAAACTCAAAACAGTAAGTAGCTTAGTCATCCTGAAGAGAACGAAGGGCAGGATATTGGCTAACCCAACTAGAAGTCACCTGGCAAAGGAAAACAGTGGCAGAAGGCATGACAATTCTAGGAAGCATGTACACAACATGCCAATAGCTCCAATGTTTCCTAATCCCCAGAGGACCCCAGAGACAGTGCGATGGTTCCATTTCAAGATCCAGGACGTGGACGTTTTGCCTCACACAAGTACAAAAGAAATATAAAAGACAGGAAGACGTAGAAGAATGACAGAAAAAGAAGTAGAAGAAACAAGTAAAAATTCATAGTGAAAAAAACACACCAAAGTATATAAAATGTATCTCCTAGGGAGATGCAATTGGCATGTCCATTCAGGGAGATGCAACTGGCATGTCCATTCACTTTTAAATGAACATATATCGTGTTTCTATAACAACAGAACAAAACTCCCTATGCTTTAGGCGTGCTTTTCAGTTATTTCTCGTGCAATCCAGGAGACGTCTCAAACTATATTCATATACGCTTAAGTGGTCACAGAATCCCATAATCCAATCTCACTTTTCTGTTGACTCACATTACAAAAAGGAAGTGTGTTTTGGAAGAACCAGAATCAAGAGGTTTGCTGGGAAAATGAGGACTTTTCCTCGTGCCCAAGTAAGCTCAAGGGATCCTATCAGACTACACAGGGCCAGGGACACAAATGTGGGACTGGCCAAACTAAGAGGCCAAATGACTGAAACTGGCATTTTCAGGGTACAGTGTGGAGCACAGCATGGCATTTTGCCAATAGGAATTGACCTCCTAAAAACTAGAGACTGCAAGTTTGAGGCCAGTCTGGTCTACAGAGCGAGTTCCAACGACAGCCAGGGCTGTTACATAGAGAAACCCTGCCTCTAAAAACCAAAAAACCAAACCAAACCAAAAAGCAACCAGAGACTGCTTTAGGCTATGCATCCAAAATGCATTTCCTGCTTTACCCAGCCATTAATATGTACAGGTATCTCTATTTAAAATCAACAGCAGGGAAAGAGATTTTAGAATTAAAACTTTACCACAAAAATTCCACTAATTAGCTAAATCCAAAATTAATTCAGGGACAATAAATAAAACCTAAAGAAACTCATTTCTGGCTCAAAAGCAAGCAATAATAATAAAAACAAATTTCTAAAAGTTACTGATAAAGCTTTCTTGAACAGAAACAATGATTAAACTTAAGAATCCCATGAGGATCATATAATCTAAGACTGTCATTAAACTTAAAAGACTTTTAAACAAGAGAAAAGCAGTCCCGTTAACACACGTTTCATGAAATCCTTTTCAGGTATTTACTGGCAACATGTAAGATGTATTTATTTCATTCCTTACGTATATTCCACTTAGTCGTTAAAATACTTTCTGCTTTCAAGACAACCTGAAGCTTCACCTCGACTGTCTACTCTGGTTTATTTAAGCCTATGCCAACCTCTGGGAAAGATCTCATTCTAGAAAGCAACTCAGCCAAAATAGGACGATCCAGTCTGGGGAGCCCTTGCCTATCTGAGGTTGATGAAGACTGTCTGAGATCGTCTTTCTGGGTTCTGATAAAGCAGCATGAATGTAAAACAAGATGTGCTATCTTTGACAGGCATTCACTCAAATACCCTCATTTCTACCTGACCGGGAAGGTGACCCAGGCACTTGGCTCTGCTCTGGAAAGGTTTTGAGCTTTTCTTGAAAGAAATGACAAGAGGAACACATTCCCAATGGCTTCCCATTCATATTCCTGTACTATGACAAAGGGTAGCCTAATCTGGGTGTTTCTTAGTGGAGAAATTCCAGCTACAAGAGATGTCACAGTTGCTTTGTGTTTGCAGCTGACTTTCCTACAGATTCCTCCGGTACAAGAAATCACCCTACGTTCTCTCTCCTCCTGTGGTCTAACTTGAAGCTTTGTGGTTTTCAGATGGAGAACTATCTTAATGGCAGAAATCAATCTTCCTCCTACTGAGGCTACGACTCTGAACTAGTCCGATGTACATAACAGCTGTTTATTTCCAATCTTAAAATCCAGTCGAAAGCCGTGGAGACACGAGAAACTGCTGTGTTCAGACCTATGCAGGAGAGCTAGAACACATTACCATGATTTAAAAGATCACACGAAAGCTTAGATACAGTGTGAGAGAGATGGAATTCAGTTTTATTTTGTCCTCTCTGAAACTTCCATTTACACCACGGTCTTGTCTATCAAAGAAGAGGAGGAGGAAACGCCCTGTCTCATGCCACAGAGCTCAAGTACCCATGTACTTGTCAGAGGTGGCAGGGTATCTGTTTCTCCAGTTTTTTGGCTCCAAGAGATTATACTTTTAGTACCAGCATAGTGAGGGACCCTGGCAACTGCTGGAAATGTCTTCTGCGTTAGTCAGTGTACCATTCCGTAAAGTGCTTCTGGAGTTAAAAATCTGTCAAGCTGTCAAAAGTGTCCACACTTTTGCAACAAGGGATAAAAGAATCCCAATGGACATTTCACTGAGTCCTTCTCAGATGGGTCTCATAATTGGCACAGCTGCTTTACCCTCCAAGGCGCTGGCCCTCACCCCAGGCGAAGCCTCCTGGCCGCTCTTCAGGTAGTGGGTTGTAATTGGGATCCTCATCTGGTGTATCAAAAATAGTCCTCCTGAAACACACGGAGACCATTCAGTGCCAGAGCCATTTTAGACTGGAAGTACCAGAAAGCAGTTCATTCCTGAGGGCTTCCACAAACAGGTAAGTACCATCTCTGCCTGCCAACTAAAGAGGCTCCACAATTATCTAACATTTATATTAACTTACCTCCTTTACTAACTTACTACAGAAGCAATAAATGCCGATGAGGTACCTGGAAGAGTCAAATCCACAGGCACAAAAAGAAAGGTGGTTATTGGGTGATAGAAAAAGAAATTAATCAATGGGCAGGCCAGGCGGTGATGGCGCACGCCTTTAATCCCAGCACTTGGGAGGCAGAGGCAGGCGGATCTCTGTGAGTTCAAGGCCAGCCTGGTCTACAAGAGCTAGTTCCAGGACAGGAACCAAAAGCTGTGGAGAAACCCTGTCTAGAAAATCAAAAAAAAAAAAAAAAAAAAAATTAATTAAAAAAAAACATCAATGGGCAGTTTTAGGATTACAACATAAATGCATCCTAAGGATAGTCGCCATAGCAGTATGACACAAATGCACTTAACACCACTATACTGCTCACTTAAAAATGGCTAACATGGTGAACTTCATGTTGGGGCGTATCGATTTAGTTATAACTAATGTCAATGTCTATTAATAAGGGAGTAACATAATTATGTTAAATATGAATCACAGAATGTCATGTAGTCACTAAATTCTGTAGGGCACTTATAATGGAAAAGTAATCATAATCAGCCCCCCTCCCCAATTCCCCACTGCAGACAGGGCTTCTCTTTGTATAGCCCTGGATGTCTTGGAACTGGCTCTGCAGACCAGGCTGGTCTTGAACTCCTGGAGAGCCTTCTGCCTTTTCCTCCTAAGTGCTCAGGAATTTAAGGCATGTGCCACTATACCCAGCTAGGAAACTTAATTATTACATATTAGGTTTAAAAATGACATTTTAGCTGGGGTGAGTGGGGTGTGGAGGGGTCACAACACGCCTTTACTCCCAGGAGGGGTGGGCAGATCTCCATGAGGTCAAGGTCTACAAAGCGAGTTGCAGGACAGCCAGGGCAACACAGAGAAACCTTCTGTCTCAAAAAACCTAACCAAACAAAAACAAAACAAAACAAAAAAACATTTTAAGAAAGTCTACAGATAGGGGCTGTAGCGATGGCTCAGTAGTTAAGAGCACTTACTGCTTTGGTAGAGGACACAGGTTTGGTTCCCAGCACCCATATCCGAGAGTTTATAACCACCTGTAACTCCAGATCCAGGCGACACATTGTCCCTGGCACCTGAAGGCACACATACACTCGTGCACACAGTGCACATAAAATGTAGGCTCACAGCCTCATAAACACATTTATAAATTAAATCTTTAAAAGAAATTAAAAATATATAGCTATTTCAAAATAAGCATATACAGTTACCCAATCCCAAGTGTTCAGCCTAAATATATCTACATACAAATAACACTACATGGACTAAATGGCAAATAGATTTTGTATATGTCTGAATAATAATAATAATAACAATGATGCTATGAATTGGATAGGGAGTAGGGATACACAGGAGTTGAAAGGGCAAGAGGAAGAAGTGGAAAGATGTAGATACAGTAATCATGTAGGAAATTATCAAAAAAAAGTATGGAAGATGCAAGACTACCTCTTAAAAGTCAGTCAAGAAACTGCTATATAAAAGTAGAACTATGGAAGATTTTACCTCCTGTGGTGGTTGGGATAGGTATGGCCCCCAAAGATTCATGTATTTGAATGCTTGGCCCATAGGGAGTGGCACTATTAGGCCTTGGAGGAAGAGTGTCACCATGGGGTTAGGCTTTGGGGGGGGGGGTCTCCTATGCTCAAGCTACACCCAAGGTGACACACCACTTCTTGTTGCCTGTGAGTTGAGATGTAGAACTCTCAGTTTCTTCTCCAGTGCCATGTCTGCCTGCATACCACCATGTCCCGCCACACTGATAATGGAGTAAACCTCTAAAACCTTAAGCCAGCCCCAGTGAAATGTTTTCCTTTATCAGAGTTGCTGTGAGCCAGGTGGCAGTGGCACAGGCCTTTAATCTTAGCACTTGTGAGGCAGAGGCAGGAGTTTGAGGCCAAGTCTGATCTACAGAGTAAGTTCCAGGACAACCAGGGCTGCTACACAGAGAAACCCTGTCTCAAACAAACAAACAAACAAACAAAGAAAAGGAAAAAAAGAGTTGCTGTGCTCATTGTGTCTCTTCACAGCAACAGAAACCCTAATTAAGACACTCACTTCTTCTGGTTTTTTCATTGTTGTTGTTAATTAAAAACTTCCTCTTGCTATGGATACTTGCTATGTTACCAAGGCTGACATCAAACTTTGAATTTTTCTGCCTCAGCCTTCAGAGAGGATGGGATGACAGGCATATACTAGCATACCTTGCTAGTTCACTCTTCTTCTCTGTCTTATTTACTTTTCTTCTATTTTAAAAGTTTATTTTCTTACGTGTTTTATATATGTAGGTATTTTGCTGGCATGTACATTTGCACACCTAAGGAGGGCACCAGATCCATGGGACCATAGCTATGGATGGTTCTGAGCCACCATGTAGGTTCTGGGAATTGAACTCAGGACCTTTGGAAAAGCAACTCTTAACTCCTCAGCCATCTCTCCAGTCCCTTATTTTCATTTTATGTCTGTGGGTATTTTGCCTGCATGTACATCTATCATGTGCTTGCAGTGCCTGCAAAGGCCAGAAGATGGCGCTGGATCCCATTGAAGTGGAGTTATAAACAGTTGTTAGTAGCTCTCTGGGTGTTGGGTTCAACCTGGGTCATCTAAAAGAACAGCCATCCTCGTTAGTATAGTGGTTAAAAGAAAGAAAAAAAAAAAAAAAGAACAGCCAGTGCTGTTAATCATTCTTTTTAGTTTAACTATTCTATAACAGAATTTTTATCAAACCTTTTTGCTGAATCAAGATCCTTGTTTGTTTTTTGAGACAGGGTTTCTTTGTGTAGCCCACCACTAACCAGTGAGTGCCCCCTTTAAATGTAATTGTTGCCAAGGACACAAAATTCTAGAGCAGAAACAGGTCTTATAAATTAAACTCTAGCTCAAGAAACTTCAGCATAAAAACAAAGAGAAGTGCTTCAAATCGCACTGCTTGGTGGTGGGAGAGCTAGTCTGGCCTTAGGTCAAAGCTGTTTCTGTTCGATTTCCCTGTGTATCTTCACCACCTGCTCTACCCGTCAGAACGCCACCAGAAATGTCCTCTGAATGGTGTGGCTCATTTCACTGTTCATTCTCTCAACTTGGACTGCAGCTTTCATAAAACCAGCAGGCAAGCCAGGCAATGGTGGCACACACCTTTAGTCCCAGCACTCAAGAAGCAGAGACAGGCAGCTCTACAGTAGCTAGCTAGTTCCAGGACAGCCAGGGCTGTTACACAGAAAAACCCTGTCTTGAAAAACCAAAAATCAAGCAAACAAACAAAACCCCAACAACAGCAACAAATATAATAATAAGGAAAAATAGAATGAAATAAAACCAGCAGGCTCCTCTCTGGGACACAGTTTTAGTGGTCACTCAAAAGTGTAATTACAAAGTCACCACAATGTCAAAAGCCCAGTAAGCACAACCCTGGCCTGCTCTGCTTCTGGTCAATCCAAAAGTCCCCCGTTGTGGCCATGTTGCTCAATCTGCAAACACTGATATGAACCACATGCATCAGGAACTAAGGGAGCCCAAAATGAACCACGATCATAATCTGTCTGCATGGAACGTGAAACATGGTGTTAAATACTCACAAAATAGATGGTGTTTTCAGAATTCTTATTCCACCAGGCTGATTGGGAAATATATCTTCCAAGAAAAAATATATGTGCCCAACTGCAATACCTATAATCAACCAGAAATAAAGGACAAAAAGGAAGATCAAAATTTCAATTTTAAGTTCCCTACCAACATATGCCTTACTTAAGATAAATGTAATTATTGAAGGTCTATGAACTAATATTATCTTTCAGATTAAACAATCTTGCAATAGCTATATACATATACTAAACAGAATAAACATGAAAGACAGTGACAAAATAAAAAAAAGTAGTGAGAAGATGCTTACCCAAAAGGTCCACAATAATTGAGTTCCCCAACAACAAGGAAAACCCCATGAGCACCCACGGCAGAAAGGGGGCCTGGAAGTTTAGAAGCCCAAAGAAGTTCATTCGGACATACGGGTTCCTTCGGCTCCACACGTAGACCAGCATTATTGTGAAGGCCTGGCCTAAAAAAACTAAGCTCACAAACAAACCAAAAAGCTAGCAAATGGAATTAAGGAAAATATCAACATGAAAGCAGGCTAGGGAAGGCTAAGGAAGAGAACTAGAGATTGCCCTTGCACTTAAATTTGAATTAGAAAAGCTAAGTACTGGTGATTTCTAAACTACAAGAGGAAATGCCTGAAATTAATTACCCAAGGTAACCAGGCAAAAACTGGTTTGGGCTAAATCATCCAGATCACAGCTACTACAGACTAAACTGCTTTTGTAACGCTCTGGCCTTTTTGAAAACATGAATCCCTGTGTCAGTAAGTACAGTGAAGATCATTCCCCACCGACACCTTCACAGGTGGAACAAAGCTTTGGCACACAGCATGGAGTCTGTACACACAATAAAACCCCTTTCTTTTTAAAAATATTGTATCAGTTTTGACAGTGACTTTAATACAACATGTCTTACCAACTTAGTAAAAGTGAAGTCACCCACCGACAGTGATGTAACTGAGATCCTTCAAGATAACCCACCTGGGTTAAAAGTTCTTGCTCAGCAGAGCTTCCTGTCCAACCTCTAGGCTTGGAAACTGTCAAAGAGGGCTGTGAAATAAATGGTAGTACCCTGGTTTTTTATTTGCTTGTTCAGAGTAGCAAGTGAATCATGAAAGACAGATGAGAAGATTGAGGAATAGACAGTCTGGTCTTTAAGATTTTCTCATATTCTATTTGTGAAGGATACAGTCATTAAAAATCCACCAAAAAGGAACATAAATACAAAGTCTGCTGTCCGACCTCGGAAAGAGCCTTCTTCTAGCATTCGACAGTAACGATATCTTAAGTTCAAGTTAAGAAAATATTAAGACATACAAATAAGAAGAAGTTAAAATGTAAAAAACCATGGAAACATACTTAGGCTTCATACTACACAGCCAAGCTGCATTTTTCTCTAAGAATGTTCACGTAGCAATCTGGTTTCATTTTTTCCCATCAAGCATTTTCGGCAACAAGAGAACTAGCACCGTATTTTACAAAGGCTGTCCCTGGCTGGGGAGCTGATTCAAATGCTGCAAGAGCACTCCACCTCTTCCAATGTCTAGTTTTGTCTTTCCCAACTTCAACTACATGTGACTTTGCCCCTTCCTTGGTTTGCCAATTCTGAAGAAACCTCTGCCAAGAAGCCTTGTGTGGTAACTACTTCTCCAGGCCAGGCAGGCTAAGCATTTCTATATTCTAGTCCATAAAAACATATTGGAAAACCTTTTATTAGAAACTTATGAGTCTCCTGCGATGAGCTAGAGTGATGGGCGCAGAGGAATACCGTGTAGCACACCCAATCACCACCTTCGGCTACCACAGCTCTTCCTTTCTTTCAACGAGCCTAAGTATGTCGAGCCCAGCAGACATTTTGGCACTCACTTTTTTTTTTTTTAAGCCTTGCAGTCATGGTCCCCACTTTCAGAAACACATTGTAAAAACCCTGGGGAAAATTCTGTTGAGTTACCAATGCTCCAGGCTGTGAAATGATACTGTGCCCTGATGCTGACATTAGTTTACAAATATGATATGATAAGTCACAGCCTAAGGACACTAATCTTTAACAGTTGGAACCTTCTGTGTAAACAAGGAGTTACAATGAGTTTCAAAACACTATGATCTAGTTACAAACTACAGACCCAGAAGTCATAACTAAAATGTTATCAAAAATAAACAAGAGCAACCGTTTCAACTTACAATATATGTTAAGCGAACCTAATGTTTTGATGTTGATTCCACTTAAAAGGATACAGAAAAATCATGTTAAACAAAAAATTGAATCCAACTGGACCAAAAAATAAGAAATTGGTGATTAGCCTCCATATCTGCAAGGGGGTGGGGCAAGAGAAAGACACATTAAGTAAAATACATAACCAGGAAACATTTCTATAGTTAGATTAAAAACGACATTCGACAACTCTGAGGCTCCAAAGTCCTAGGTGGGACCCATCCAAATACGACACCCAATATGATTCTGTATTTGTTTTGTGTGTGATGCTTCTACTTGAAAGACTAGAAGATATTAACTGGACTGTAAAATTTATATGGATGATAGGATAGAAATTCAAAATCACAATTACCTTTTATAAAACAACACAAAAAGCCCACACTATGTGGCTAAGCAAATTATGGAAGCGGTCTAAATAAAAAACTTCAGGGATCTAGTATGGAAAGCTGCTGAGAAAAGTCTAAATTAACCACACATCCTGATGGAAAAATTCTAAGACAGTCAGTCAGGTTCTGGTTTGAAGTCAACTTCCTACAAGAGTTAATGCTCCAAGAGTCAAGAAGAGATAGAAGAGGAGTCTCACCTAGGCAACCGACAATTACTCACGAACTTTACAGAATTACTATCGTATGTGACTTCAGTAATCTTGTGAGATAGACAAGCTAATGTGATCGTCCTCTCGTCACAGATAAGGAAGCTTGAGACTTATGGCTTGTTGAAGGGCATGCAGCTAGTGGAGACTACTGACAGCGAATCTAGAACCTCTTAATTCCAAACTTAATGCAACTGAACCATGGCAGGGTGGTGGTGGCTCAGGCCTTTAATCACAGCCTTTAATCAGCAGAGAAGGCAGATCTCTGTGAGTTCAAGGCCAGCCCGGTATAGAGAACAAGTTCCAGGACAGCCAGGGCTACACAGAGAAACCCCGTACCAAACCAAACCAACAAACAAAAACCCCAAGTAAGGGTGAGAGATGTTCTAGCACAAAAGGTAATATATCTAAAGACACACAAAAGGTAATACATCTAAAGACACACAAAAGGTAATACATCTAAAGACACACAAAAGGTAATACATCTAAAGACACACAAAAGGTAATACATCTAAAGACACACAAAAGCTGCATCTTGAAAGGCAAGCTAAAGTTCAACAGGTACAAAGGGAGTGGAATCCAATTGGGACAGAAACAGCAGGAACAAAGCGGAACTACAGCTGCGGAGATCTAGCCTTCACCTAGTGTGTGAATGACCATCCTGGCATGATAACACATTCCTCTTTAGCATTTTAATCAAGGGAAAAAGACTTCTTCAAATTGTACTCTAATAAGCCAACATGCTGTTTTAGAGAATGGTCTTTCTGACTTGTGTTAATATGATTTGACTTCAGGAAGACAGATTGCAGTGTTAAAACTCTACCAGAACTGTGTATATGAGCTGCACCAAGAGGAGTAACAACAGGGAACGGACAAAAGACTATCTTGTGAGATTCCCTGGGCAGCTAGCTTGGTCAGTTTTATTCCCAAATCACATCATCACTATTATCATTGATTGTTGTTACTATTGCTTATGTTTTGAGACAATTCCTTGATGTGTAGTTCAAACTGGCCTCGGCTTCCTGACTGCTGGGATTATGGTCACATTAAATCTTTTTTTTTCGAGACAGGGTTTCTCTGTGGCTTTGGAGCCTGTCCTGGAACTAGCTCTTGTAGATCAGGCTGGTCTTGAACTCACAGAGATCCGCCTGCCTCTGCCTCCCGAGTGCTGGGATTAAAGGTGTGCGCTACCATCGCCCGGCGGTCACATTAATTCTTAAACTAGTTGTAGTCAAATACAGAAACTAAAAATAGAAGATGAATTCCAAATTCCCACCCTTAGCAATTTTCTTAAGACAGGGTCTCCCTAGCTAGCCCAAACTAACTCAGAACTCGCCAACCTCCTGCCTGCTTGTGCCTAGCTCCACCCTTGGCAATTCTAATTTGGTATATGATGCATGGTTCGCAAATACCTAGCAGCTCTTAAATGATTTTGGAGCCCAACCAGGCTGCAGAATTCCTTCCTTACATCTCTATAAGACTTAATTATAATCAGAGCTTCCCCTACTGGATTATTTTTTGAGCCTGTATCTGACAGGATTTATTATTTACTAAACAATAAAGAAAAAAAACGATAGTAGAATCTTTAACCACAGTAGCCATAGACCACTTACTTGAAAATGTTTAAAAATTAGTTCAGGATTGAAGTATAACTGAAAAGGTGTGATCAATTCCAACTGCTGAAATGGAAAAAGAGCTTCTTAAATCAGATCAACCATAAACCAAAATTTCAGCATTAACAACAAAGGATCAGTACCTCTAATAATTTCTGTGGTCACTTGGAGTAAATACCTGTCTTGCTTGTGACCGCTGGTATGGGAGTCTTTAGAATTCGCACAACCGTTTTTGTATCCTCAATACACAATGTAAGTTTTATGTTGCAATATTTGAGGATGCTATAAGGCAGGTAGGTGGGGATATTTAAGAGACAAGACCACAGCATCTTTTACGAATCTGTACGTCGCGTGGTCACCACCTGAAACATCTGGGTGAGACAACGCCGAATAAGAGATCCGAGGGCCCACTACCATTAGGACTAGAGTACGGTGGCCGATTCTTATATCCACCGGCCGTCTTCTGAAAGATGTTTCCAGACAATTTGAGATTTTTATTCTTAATATATATTAAGTCTGTGAACCTAGCGGGCCTTGCTCCCACTAGTCACCTGGCCATAGCTAGAGCTGAGGCACATTTCTGGGTGGGCGGCTCCCACAGCTCTGACTCGCTACAGGTCTGGATTTCATCTCACGGAAACCGACCTGTCCCCTCATGGAGGAGCACTTCCTTTTCAGGTCACGGGCTTGGCACCCTTGGGACTATCCCGAACCCTAGAGTCAGCTCCGGATGTCTCCACCCACCCCTGGGACCAAACCCTCTGGGCTTCTCTGCGGCCCAAACCCGTTTTCTGAAAACCCAGTCACAGCTAGCCTGGAAACAGAGGACGGAGCGCCAGAGCTGCTCACCACGGCCGCGGTGGTGAGGACGCAGGCGGTAGTGTAGGCGCGGCTGACCGGCGGGATCTGCAGGTACTCCAGCCGGAGGCTCTGGTACGCCATCTTTCCCACCGCGCCTGCCCCCCTTCCCCTTCCGCCAGGATGCCAGGCGGCGGGGCGGACTCAAAGCCGGCCTTCAGCCTTGCCACCATTGTCCAATCAGCGCCGCGCACTCCGCCGGCCACCAATAGCTGGTGCCCCGGGGGCCGCGCATCCACCAATAACGAGTTGCGTCTCCGCGTCGGCCCATCCTCACTTCTCCGCCTACCAACGAAGAGCGAAAGTACCAGATCCTTCCGCCAATCCCCGCCGGCCACAGCTAGCTTTCCCTCCTGGTCCCTGTCCTTTTCCAATCCGAGGGCCTCCTTTTCGGCCCCACGGCCAGCCAATCAGGAGGGCGATCCGTCCCGCCTTTACGTTCGTTTGCCGAGGCGCGATTCAGTCGCTTGTTCGGAGCTGGTGCCGCCGCCTCCCTCCGGTAACTCCGTGTGGTTTGAAGGACGTGGCGGGAAGCCGGCGTGTGGCGGACTCCATCACCCCCGGGATCGCTTCGGTAGGGCCTGTGTGCTGTCTGAGGAGGAGCGGGAAGGAAGGGCGGGACTGGAGGGGCGGCGTCGTTTTAGGGGCGCCGGAGCGTCCTGCAGGGTACCTCTGACCCCAGGCCGGCGGGGCCGGGAGCCTTGGAGGTCCCGGCGTGCAACGCGGCCGCGGGGGTGGGACGGGAGCTGCCGGAACCGCCTGCCGCTCTGCCGTTTCTAGGCCTTTTGTGGTGGTCGTGGGCTCTGATCTACTCGTCGAGATCGGGTGGGCGCTTCCCTTGTTTAACTTCAGCAGCAGGAACTCTAGCAGAGAAGAGATGGTAGATGAGTTAATAACACTGAAGGAACGCGAAGGAGGTTGTGGCTGGTTCTTCATGGAGACGTTTTCCAGCTGGCATTCGATGAATCTGTGTTCATTGCGTGCCTACTTGAAGGAAAAAAAAAAAAACTATAATTCGGTTGTGTTGGGGCAAAGACTATCCTGATCGTGTCAGAAGTATTCGGTAAGTTAAAAGAAGCACTAAAAAATTGTGGGGGGAAAAGTGTGACTGTCAAGCCTGTTAGGAACCAAGTAAAAGGTTGGAGAGAGTGGCATTTAGAAGTAATAAAAGGCTGCACGCAGTGGCACCTGCCCGTGACTCCGAGCCTAGCTGAAGGCTGAAGCGAGAGGATTTGTTAAGTGCTAGGCCAGCGTGGGCAGCATAGAGGAGACGGGGGCAAACACAAGAATGGTCTCAACAACACGTTAAGCAACAACCTCGCCATAACATTGACAGTGAAGTAGAGAAAAGGTGAAACTGGAACTTCTCTCTGAACTGGAACTTTGGATTTAGGAACTTGGTTAGAATTGGTGTGTGTGTGTGTGTGTGTGTGTACATACGTACTATACACACATATATACATATACAGACTTACGCATATATTATGCATATATCATGACACATCAGTTCAGGATTGTTGAGAACTTTGAGGCAAAGTTAGGATGCAAACTTGGGAAATTATAGAGTGCAAGTTGTTGGTAATTCGACCCATCATTTGGGTAATTTGTAACAGACATCCGTCCTACTTGGGTTATGAAAATATTGTAATCTTCTAGAAAAGGCATCCCAATATAAACGACAGAAGTGGAAGTAGTTTCAGTGTCCAAATAGTACGTGAGGACAGATGGCTTTAATTTTTAAAATATAGTGTGGAGCTGGGAATGCAGCAGTAGAGTGCACACCTAGCTTGTAAAAGGTCCCGGACATGATGCTTAGCGCCATAGGAAGGAAAAACAAGCTTATGACTACCAACTTGGCAAAAGTTAAGAGTGCCAAATAAATGTTTTTGGCAGAGAAAAGAAGTTCTGGTGTACTCCATGTGAGTATAAGCCAGCCTCAATGTTCTGAGAATGTTTTGGCAGTATTTAGTGACATATATGCAAATATCTGTCAAATTCCTAAGAAGGTATCAGCAGAAGATCTCGATATCATCTCCCCACCCCCGCCGCGTAACTTGATTGAATAAAACTAAAGTAGTTACTAGCAAACCTGTTAGGTAATTGCTCATCCATTATCAATTCGCATTATCTGTTCTCTTGGAAGATGAATGAATAGCTCCAAACCTCCTAGCAATTTAAATGAAAATTAAGAACTGTTTTTGGAGACCCTATTTTGGAATACCAAGGATGTTTGTCTTTCCATGTTAATGCTACAGATTCAAAACCAGTTCTCTAACCCATCAGTATCATAAAGAATATTCTGTAATTTGAGATTTAACTTAAACAAGGACAGAGGCTGCTAAAATGTTTTATCCTATGGTGGGGTAACTAAATACCTATGTCTGTTCCCCACTCAGGTGATTCTTCAGCATGGTAGAGCAATGAGGAATGGTTTCATCTCGTCAGGTTAGAGTGAGGGCATGGCCACATAATACACTCACTCCATCACGTTAGAGCAAGGGCATGGCCACATAATATGCTTGCTCCATCACGTCAGAGCGAGGGCATGGCCACATAATACAATACATTCGCTCCATCACGTCAGAGCGAGGGCATGGCCACATAATACACTCGCTCCATCACATCGGAGCAAGGGCATGGCCACATAATACACTTGCTCCACTCCACTTAAAAATGTAGCCAGGCCATGGTGGCTACATTTCCTAGCAAGAGGGAGGCAGATCTCTGAGTTCTAGGCGAGCCTGGTCTACAGAGTGAGTTCCAGGACAGCCAGGGCTACACAGAGAAACCCTGTAAATCATAATCTTGAGTAACTGTTATCTTTCAATGCAGTTTTCTAAAAGCAGTTATTGTGGGAGTATAGTCATAGCTCAATAGGAAAGACCCCATGCTTCTTCCAGAAGATCTGAGTTTGCATCCAAGTGCCCATGTTCAGTGGCTCACAGCTGCCTATAATTCTGGCTCCTGCCAGTCTGATACCCTCCCCTGGCATCCAAGGGCTCCTGTTTGTGTGTGGCATATGCACACGTAAGCATACAGAGACACATAAATAGTAAGATTAAATCTTTTAAAAGTTATATACAAAACTGAAAGAATTTAAGGGTTAGGTGACCCAGTGACTGAAGGGGAAAGTGATAAATTAAAAAGAGGTCTGAGGAGGGAACTGCCAAATAAGAATTAAAAGAGCAATGGTGAATTAAAGTTTGTCCCAGTAATAATAATGCAGGCTATTCTGACTTTAAGGTCATTCCATATGATGTGTTTCTGACTTTGTTCCCAATGTAATCTCTTAAATGTATCTTTGATTTATAGATCTGTGCAGTCGGCACTAAAGGATCATGGACAGTTGTATCAAAACGGTGAACAAATAGAGTGACTTAGAAATAGTTAAAGCAGATGATCACTGATCTTAGACTGTGGAGACAGATTCTACTATTACTGTTACTATTTGAATGAAAGTTCTTGAAAGGTATCCTTAGGTGGTTTGAAGGTAGAAAACTGAATTGTCAGAAAGAGTACTCTGTCTTGATATGGACTGTCATTAATCTTATTGTTGTGTCTTGCCACAATGTTTATCCTCAACTCCACCTGCACAATTTTGTATTGTAGTGTCATGGACTAAATCAGAGCCTCACATTAATCCATTTCAGTGTCATAGTTTGACTTCTACCTGGTTCCTCGTTACCTTTTTTCATAATGTATTTTGTTTATTTACATATTTTACCTGCGTGTGTCTGTTTGTGTCTGTGTGTATGCACCATGTGTGTGCCTGGTTACCACAGTGGCCAGAAGACGGCATTGAATTCCCTAGAACTGGAGTTACAGGTTGTATGAGTCATCATGTGGGTACTGAGAACTGAACCTGGTAGTGCTCTTAACCACTGAGCCATTTCTCCATCCCCAACTATCTTGTTTGTTGTTGCTTAATGATTTTATTTTTTGAAAAGTATGTGTATGAGTCTTGCTTCCATATGTGTGTGTGTGTGTGTGTGTGTGTGTGTACCATGTGTGTGTGTACCGTGTGTGTCTGGTCCCCCAAAAAGGTTAGAACTGGGCATTCCCTGGAACTGGAGTTACAGATGATTATGAGCCGCCATGTGGGTATTGGAAACTGAACCCAGGTCTTCTGCAAGAATAAGTGCTCTTAACCATTGAGCCATCTCTCAAGTCCTGTTCCTCACTATCTTAAAACATTTTTAAAATTAATTTATTTTTATTTTATGTGTTTTGAGTGTTTGCCTGCATGTATGTATGCTGCATTGTGTGCAGTACCTGAGGATGTCAGATCTGGAACTGGAATTATTAGGTGCTAGCTTTTATATGGATTCTGGGCCCTTTGCAAGAGCAGCAGGTACGCTTAATAGCTGAGCCATCTCTGACAGCCCTGCTCCTCATCTTGATGTGTGCTCAAAGCTCTGACAGGTTTCTTGATTATTTGGTTGGTGGGGAAGGATTCTCTTGTTTTACACTGCATATCGGTTCCCCACTACCACTGTCACAGGATAGATCTAAGGGGATTGGGTTTACTTCTCATGCATAATCATTGAATTTGGTGACACCCTTTTCTTTCTCCATTTTAGAACAACAACTTCTTAGTAAACTGGGTGGGGATGAATGTGGGTTCTGGGCTGAGAGGGACTATAGATGCATAGTTGAAACTTTGGAAGCATTTTTTGTTTGTTTTTGTTTTTCAAGGCAGGGTCTCTGTGTAAATCAGGCTGGCCTTGAACTCACAGAGACCCCCCCTCCCGATTGCTGGGATTAAAGGTGTGGTTCTGGACAGTTTACCTGGGATGTGTGTGTGGTAGAACTGAAACTGCTATGGTCATGATCAGTCAAGTAAATGAGTGCAGTAACATGAAGTGATTAGGCCATTACAATGTAAACATGTGTATATGAGACTGGATTTGTAGGGGCTGGAGAGGTAGCTCCATAGTTAAGAGGGCCTGAGTTGGGTTCCCAGCAAGTTGTATTTCCAGCACGCTATCTATAACTCCAGCTCTAGGGAACCAACACCTTCTGGTTTTTGTAGATATCTTCATGTATGTGTACATACACATAAAAAGTGAGTTCTAGGCCAGCCGGAGCTACCTGTCTAAAACAGCACTACAGATCTAAGAGTATAGTCCTGGCGTTCTGTTTCTT